GCGTTCCATCCAGTATAAAAAAAGTTCACCAATCAGCTGTCCAGTAGTAAAGCTATTTGACAGCTGATTGGTGAACTAGAGGCACCTATGCTGACAGTATTGTATCACCGTGTGATGTATCTGGTGACATGATACTCTGTGATAAATTGTACTTGCAAAGATACTAACTACTGACTAGATTCGAGACAATAAATTTTCATTAGTGTCAACATAGTCCGTGTTCTTTTCTTGTTGTCAAATCGGACCCAATTAATTTCGTTGGGACAGTTTCGATTCGTCGCTGAAATCTTGGAATGTGAGAAATGAGGACTGGGAACGCCCCGGACGCCGCGATAGCTATCCTCTGTTTTAGTTTTATTATTTGTTTTGACCTTTACTAAATATACACTAAGTTTTATCGAATATAGGGTTGAGGCATATGCCATATATATATGTCTATTAATATTAAGGACATCTTATGTAGCGCCACCTGGTTCCACCAAAAAACACCTATACACATACAAACACATATACTCATAAATACAAATGTTTGTATGAGATGAGATGAGAGATAAGGCGGTGTGCTGTATGTTGTCAATGCATGAAAGTATTTGAAGGTACTGGGTTCTTTCTGTCTACCCAGTAAGCACGCAGTTTTATTAAATAGATTATATCAATAGTGATTTAATTTAGTGCTAAACATTTTATTTATTTAATAATAATATAACGGATTCAATATTTCAATTAAGGAAAGGAACCTATTACCTACCTAACGTAATAATTCACATATGAGATTTGTACGAAACATGAAGAAGTAGCTACGATCCAATAATATTAATTTCGAAAGTTTTACAAACCGGCTAATTTGTGAAATTGCAAGGCAAGGACTCCATACTTACAACACAACAAAACTTAAATACATGTGTATAAGACAATGATAAATAACTATTTTGCGTTTCGATTTCAAATATTCTCAACTAAAGAAGGAAATTATATATCATTTGAATAACATTTAAAGTCGCATTAAAGATTTTCATTTATGTTAAATCCCTATTTACGTTTACGATAAATGGTAAGAAAAGCTTAGTACACGGTACGATCACCATGTCAGTTAAACAAATGACGATCATTTTAATATTTATAACAATATATATTACAACTATAAAATCCTGCTACTCCAACTTTTCTATCGACGATGGTACAAGTAACAAGTGTACTTTAAACAGTGTCATGAAAAATATTATAAAACATTTTCCATGTAATAGTCTTGTCACTGTAATTTCTGCATCCGAGAATATTAATAGTGTACTGTTATCTTTAAATACTGACATTTGCTTTAATATTGTAGTACGAACGGCTTGTACAGTACGTAATTGGCGTTTTGTCGCAGATGTGTATGTTATAGTAGCTGAAGACATTTATGAACTGTCCACAAAAATATTTCAACTATCATACAATTTTTACTGGGCACCCAAAGCCCGATATATTATTCATGTACATTATGTGACGGATTTGCGTCAAATATTTAAAATATTTTTAAACTACAATATGTACGACGTAATTTTATTGGTTTGCATTGATGGTGTTACTGAAGTATTCACGTACTTCCCATTTGCTAATGGAAACTGTGGAAAAGATTTCGATGAAGTAGTAAATCTGAATACTACATCTGCTATTCGAGAAAACTACTCCATGAAAAAAGTGCCCAACACCCTAAGGAATTGTAAATTTAAGGTAGTTTTACGTGAAGCAATGCCATTTGTGAATCTTGGAACAAGCAATTACAGCACGTACGAACGCTATATGAAAGGTATAGAACAGTATGTTCTAAGTAATATTGGCGAAATAGAAGGCATCATTTTTGAATACTTTGAGCTTAGTAAACACATATTAACTTCAGGCTTCGTATTACCAAATGGAACCGTTACCGACCAGTTGGCTTATGTGCAAGATGGGAGAGCTGACATAGCATTAGGAGGCTGTTTTTTAATGCAAAATCAAGCGCAACTTTTTGACTATATTTGGGGTTATAAGTATTCCAGGTTTTTTTTATTTACATCAGCAAAAAGGTTCGAGCAGTGGAAAAATGTTTATAAGGAATTTAATCTTACGACCTGGATACTGATAATTGCCGCATATTGGTTCATAGTCGCAGTATGTTTATCAATTCTTAGATTAAGTCCAGCTGAAAAAAATTCTACTCTGAACACAATGCTAGTGCTGTGGGGTTTATATTTATGGAACGGTAGTAAAAGGATCCTACAAGTAAAACGACTGAGACCCATACTAGTTTGTTGGATTTGGTACTCATTTTTCATTATAAACTTCTATTCCTCATATTTTTACAGTTTAATCGCAAGTTATAATCAAAAAGTAATAGATTACGATGTAAAGAAAATGAATTCATCAATACTGAAGCCATGCGTTGGTGACAATATTAGATCTACTTTCTTTTATACTCACAGTATAAGATTTCCTCCAAATGTTAATTTGGAAGCTTGTCACCAATCGATATCTGCACTAGAGGCTGTAGCCGCAAGTAACAATTTGTTCACAGTTCAAAGACATTATAACTATCTTACAAACAAATATAAGTTTTTTGATGATAATCAATACAGAAAAGTAGATTTGAAACGAATTGGTCATACTATGAATATTGCTATGTATTTAAAGAAAGGTTTTCCATTACAAAATAAATTAAAATTGCACGCAAAGCGTATGTTTGATAGTGGAATAGTCAACAAACATCTTGAGAAACTTCTAAATACAAAATACGTGTTTAAAAAAACTGCCACCAGATTTTCAAAATTAAGTCTGTCAGATTTGAGAATTGGTTTTTTAATACTACTTTTAGGGATTATTATATCAATGCTTTGTTGTTTACTCGAAATAAGTATTAGCAAATGCAATAAACTTTTTTTTAAAGGATAAATGTAAAGGACTTAACAATATTACTATTGATCTATAAATGTAATGTATAATTCCTTAACTATTGCGCATAAATAATTTTGGAGTACCCCGGGTATTTAAAAAGGCCATTGCCCGCTTCAATGGATAGATATTTACTCAACATCTCTAGTAAAAATATCTTAAACACTTTTTCATCAAATACATAACTATAATTAATATTAATACCTTTTGCATCTCATTTGCAACAATACTTCATTAGAATTAACAAATAGTCGTATATAACTGTCTCTGTATGTTATACATAGTTAGTACGTTTAAAGTCTATTTTTTATTTTATCTAACGAAGAATGATGCTACTTTTTATTTTAATAGCTCTCTCTCTTATTTTTTCTAATTGGCACATCATTATAGCAATGTCTAGAACAATACAAAAAATATATTATTACTAAGTGATGCATGAAATTTTTACCTTTACATGATTATACTATGGTTATTGTACCTATATTTATGTACTTATATAATACTAAAAGATATTTATATAAATAAATAAATTCCTCTAGTATTAATTTACATCTAATTACAAACTAGCAAGAAGATTGAAAGAACAATCCATTTTGGAAATGACGTCCCATAACAAAAAAATATATCGCAATTTAAAATTGTTGTGAGACATCTTTTAAAATTCCTGTTACCGTAAAATATTTTCATAGTATATATTTTATATTATGTACGTATACAAGGAATACTTTAGCGGTAACATTAAAAGATTAGTGCGCACCGTCTCTATAAGGACTAATCTGAAGCAGTCTAGATAAACGCGGTGCTCTTCCCATTTGCATTGTAGGGTTGCTACTTAAAACTTTGTATTTTAAAGAAATATGTTAACACCGAATAGCTATGGTAATCGTAAATATCTGACATGTTATTTTGTGCACTCTAGATTTCCATAGTCTAATCATAATCTCTCATGTGAGCAATTACAACTGTGTAATTTTACTTTAGTCTCTTATATAATTAGCAATTATAGACAGGCGAATTATATAAATACTTATAATTAAATTTAAAATTGATATACCTAATTACGGCCATATTTAGCAACCCTAATAATGCAAGAGTTGTTATTACTTCGTACATGAGTTTCGTTGCCTATAGAATGAGCACAAAGATACAGCGATTCAACTTACCAGACTGTTTTTGATAATATTAATGAATCTCTTATCCTTGCCAATATAATTTTCTGCTAATTTCATAGTTTATGATTTGTAACTCACCATGTGCATTGTGTATAACAGATAAAATAAAATGTCTTACAGATCTGAACAAAAATCTTTCAAACAATTAGGTAGAATAAGTCATGTTACATCTGAACAATAATGTGGGTTATTGAAAAATGCATGTACCTATTTAAGTTCTGTGATTTCATGCATGAGATATCTATGATATATGCTATCTAAAAATATTATAATTTTGTTCAATGATCTAGAAATTTGGACTCATGAAATATTTAATAGGCATTTCGCTAAGAATGTAAATTAACGGAATAGCATTTTCTCATAGCGTTGAACATGTTATTATGATGATACAAACCAGAAGGGTTAACGACACATCTTTCTGGAATAGCTGTATTCTTATGAAGGACAAGATAGTAAGAATTTTAATTTTTAATTACGGACGACAATATCCATTGCTGTAAACCTCAAAAGGTTTACCGCATATGTATATACACATATAAATATACAAAATTTCTATTCGTTGCGAACAATTATATTTTCTGTATTTGATACATGTATTGTTAGATACAATTTGTAGGTAAAAAGGATTAGATGTAGTGCACGACGAGATATAAAACATATATAAAGACCAATGCTAGTAAAAATAAAATTGTAATCTTAGAGTTATTGCACTTCAATAAACAATGAAACAATTACTGTTGTTCTTTGTTATGTAAAATAAGTGTTAACTATATATAGATACTTGACACATCTTAATAGTAATACTGATATAAATGACGCTTTTGCACCAAATATTGTAGATTCAACATATTTAATAAACCAGCTATAATGGATGAAATAAATAAACTTTATTATAATATTATTCATTAATTTATTCGTATAATTGGTACTAATGATGTGAAGGTAAAAAGTAGCTAGTTGTATAAAAAGGAGACACCAACTAATGCTGAAATTCCCAGCACCGTGAGTATGTACATCAAAACCTGTAAAGAAAAATACAAACTCATTAACAATGTATGCATACACATATGTAAATTTTATTAATACTACAATTAACAGATGTTAATTTCAATATCTTTACGTATTATAAAACAGAGTCGCCACCGCTATTCATTCGCTTATAAATTTTAAAGTACGCAACGGAGATTAATGCAGTTTTCAGCAATATATAGTGATAGAGAGAGTCAACAGGAAGGTTTACATTTAATGCATGCGTATTGTAGTACAGAACATGTTGAAATTCAAAGATTTGTAATGTATTCGTGCAGCCGGGAAGGGTCGCTAGTTAATCATATTTAAAGAAAGTGTTTTACTATCGTTTTAAAATATCATCGATTTTGTATATTAATGGTTTCACAATGAAATACTTTGTATTTAAGAAACTACTATTAAGGAGTAAGTAGAAAGAACAGAGAGGTAGGAAATTAACTAACTTTATAAATAAACTCACCTTATCTTGCCACTGTCTGTTTTTCGCACATTCACTGTATGGCATAGTAGTAAATGTGACAGAATTATACAGTGGCACCCAAAAATCAGGCAACAACCAATATAAGAAGTCGTCCATTGTTTTACGGATCCGATAAGAAGGACGAGTCACTAAATCTCGCATCTGAAAATTATTAATATTTTAAGTTTTTTTTAAGAAATATATTTTCAATGTACATAAGTGAAAGTACAGTTTGTTTTTTTTTTAATCGTTTGTTAATGAAATTACATGTTGAGTTTAAAATTCAATAAAAACATAAAAAATATAAATAATATGGTCATTTGATACTTTTTTATGTATTTGCTACAAAGAGTATGTATATAAGATAATTTAACATATTTTTTAAATTAAATATAATTCTCTTTGACTTCATTCTTTGTTAATTTACGGTTATTTTACTAAATCAATAGGGTAGGAAAAATGCGTTACATTATTTACAGTTACATATTGTTGTTCACACTTTTATCCAGTAGTTAATGATACCTAATTACCAAAAGTAAATATGCCAAATTTTATCACCTAATAAGTATAGATAAACAACATTTACTGTTTGGTTTATTTTATAATATAAAAATAAACCAAACAGTAAATGTTCTAATTGCCAACATTAGTTTAGGAATTTCCACTCTGTTATAGGCGAAAATATTCATCCTCTTTAAAAACTAATGTTTTTTTATGTTCGTATAGCTATAGGAAAACTACATTATCAGCTAATAGCATAAACTGTAACAACTCTGGATCTAGCCAGCTAAATAAAAAAATGATCCTCTACAAATCTTTTAAACTTATTTACCGTATCATCAAAACTATATCTTACCTCTATGTAATTATACAATGCCAAATCACATATTTCAAATGTATCTCTCCATCTTGCGTCCGAAAATTCGGACAGAATTTTAACTAGATTGTCATTATTCTTCTGGAAAAGATGGTTGAGTATCGTACAGTCTTCAAATCCAGCGTTCATGCCTTGTCCATAGAAAGGAACTACTGCGTGAGCTGCATCGCCTATGAGGAGAGCCTTATCTTCCACGTGATAGGGTCGACACTGCAATAACAGTTATTTTAATAGTAATAAAAATAAAGAGTAAGTATTTAATTACTATAAATATATAATATCACAATATCACAACTTCATCCGCGTATTGAATCAAAAGTCGTAAAAACACAATAGACTAAAAAAAGGTTCCGTATTATGTAATATTATGTTATCTGTGGTATTACTACACTATACAATTATACAACATATATACTTGTACTGTACGGTATTATGGAATCATATCATAAAAATCAGGACAAAGAAGAAGGATCGTCTAATTTAGAAAATAGACACTTTTCTTGTTATGAAATAATATTAGGTACCGGCACAGACAAGGGACATCATATATCATACAATGAATCAGGATACAATTGGAATATACCTACTTAATAATATTATAAGTGTACCTAATACTTAACTTTATTAAGTAATATATAATAACGAAACGAATGTTATGTATAATACATATATAATATTCTATGTATTCAACATCATTATGATTTTAGCTACAAGAACTCCAGTCTAGGACCTTTCATTACCAGCGGTTATTAGTTCATAGAACTATGGCACAAATTGCCACGTCATTGTCACATTAGGTTGCCGTCAGGTGTATTCATATTTATAATTCACTACTTCTCTTTGTTCCACATTAATCAAGGGTATTTTATTATATGCATTATATGCAGGGTAATATTTACTCAATGATATTAATATCTTATATGTTTTCATTATATTTCTGTCATAAAATATGCTAATATATCTTATACTTATACAATAGATACTTAATCCTCTTAATAATCTTCAACTTACAAAGGAAAATAATAATGTTAATAACAATTAGATTCTATGCAGATAGAAAAACAAAAACAGGATAGGTATAAGCAACTTCTAAAAACCTGAGTACATATATTATTGCGTATTTAATACGTAGATATATGTTGTGTACGTCACCATACGGAAACATTATAAAGCATAATTAATTTCCGTATGGAAAAGTACCAGGTTGTTACAAAACATAATATAGTAAAAATAATATCTCTGAACAGTTTTCACAGCGCCATCTAGTACTAAGCTAGAACTTGTGGTTACTAGACAACTGATATATGTAAATACATAGATTTACATATATACATATATCATATTTCTTTTGTAAATATTCTCTGAACCATATTTTATATTTCTATAAACTATTTTACACAGAATCAGATATTGATATGTATTATATACATATATCAGCTTGTTCAGCTATTTTAAATGTACCTACGTACATATGCATAACATAGCAATATCGACTCATTAAAAACGAAACATTGTGATTTTTTAAAATGCACGTACATTTTACCGTATCGTATCTTCCGGTGCTGATACAAAATTGTAAAAAAAAATATTCTGTTATTTTAATAAAGAGTATACTTTGTTAAAATAACAGAATATTTTTTTCAATAAATCAAATAGAAATAGAAATAAACATCGTATTGTTTAGTATCTCTGCTGTTATACAAGGAAACTGACCTTAACATACACCAAAGGTGATGGTGAACCTCCAAAAAAGTCTTGAATCAACTTCTTTTTACCGATTAAAGTAATAGAATCAGGAAAGTACGTCTCGAAGAAAGCTAGCAGCTTATCCTCTGTATCTATACTTTGAAAACTAGTGAAAGGCATAAATAATGTTACAGTCCACGAACAATCCTGGTTGGGTAGAGCAATCATCATAAAATTGCCTCGTGGCCAAATGTGTAAATAATTTGCAGGCATCTGAAACTAATAAGAGATGTTCAAAGACGTGTAGGAATCATAACTGAAAAACATTTGTCCTACAAAAACTTTAGAAAAAAATTATAGACACCAAAACCATGTAGTTATGTCATTGCCAGATAAGCGATGTAGAATGTATTAATGTATTTAAAACTTGTGGATCGTGGAAATTAATTATAATAGTTAAATAAATAATATAAAAAACCATAGGTCATTTCAACGTAAATAAATAAATTTTTACTTTATATCATACACATTTATATTTACATAAAAATATAGGTACTCGATCATATTTAAATCATTTTATTTAATATTTACCCCTCTGTAATAACTCATATTTGTTGTCTTTTGTTTAAAAAAATATTAATAAAGAACAAATATATATATCACATAAGTATAATATGTATATTTGTTTTTAATTAATATACTGTTTAATAATGTTTACACTAAAATTGATATTCGTTCAGTCATGCGGTTTGAATGTTAATATAACATTTTTAATCAATAATGGCAATGTTTGATTATTGGCACTAATATTGCAATCTGCAAAATTATTATTCTTATTAATAATTCTATAATGACTGTTGATCATCAGGTAAGGCGAGGCTTATGAATGATTGTCACCAACTTTGAAATAATTGTGAAATGAACTACTGATTTAGGTTTTCTCTACAGACTGCCACAATTATTGTTGCCGAAGGCAATATTTTTGATAGTTTTTTTTTATATATGTTTGTATATAAAAAAATATAATATATGTGCGTTCTGTTTTTATATACCGAATGTTTTCTAATGCCATATTCCTTGTCTTTAGGTTTTTGCTCTATTAATTAAATATACTAATTTTACCTCACCTCGGAACGTGCCTCATTTAAAACCAGCCTAATACAGTCCTTCCGTCGCAACTTTGGTAAAAAACAAGTCACTTACCGATCCATTCTCATCAGCGGGTATACACAATTCCAGGTAACCATGTTCTATGTATTTCTGGGTATAATCGAAAAGGGGCTGCTTCATCATACATTTACGAACTGCTGAGAAAGCTCCATCAGCTCCAATGATTAGATCCGCTTTTACAGACACTTTTTCGTTGGTATCCATCCTAACATTAAACAATTCTTTAAATGTGAATTCACAAATTACTTTATTATACTGTAAAATATACATCTCATCCCAACTTAATATTAGTGTAAAGCTAATCTATGATTACCTAACCGTTGAATATCGGATAGTTTTTGTGATTTTTGTCACCATTGTCTTATGAAATGGTATTCAAAAATAGAAAAATAAATGGGTAATATTGGTATGGTAGGTAAAGGTATCTATGACACTAATATTGAACAGCAGGCTGTTCATCAGAGAAGATATTGGAAGCGAAACGAAACGCATGTATCGTGAATTACGAAATTCAGTCTTGTCTGACGAGGAAATATGTCAGTCTAAGATTTCCTAAACAGATGCGGTATGGAAGATAAAATAGTAAAAGAGAAATAAAACATTACTTAATATGATAGAAATTTATACCTAATTACTTACTTCAAAAACGTCATTGTTCCGTTCTGCAAATTAGCTTCAACTAGTTTGTGATTAAAGTATGTCTTCACATTCTCATAATTATCAGACTCTGTAAAATAAAATTTAAAACACTAAATATTTATTGTCGTATAATAGTAAATAAATATGTCATGGTATGTAAATAATAACACATTGATTACCGAAAGAAAACTTTGTACAAAATTGTCTGCAACAAAATAGGTAATTTTTTTTACCTCATTTTCTGCATAGAGCAGCCTACTTTTCAATTTGAACTCGTGTTTTGAAGGGTTTGGTAATTTTAACTATTATTATGACAAGTCACAAGGCCCTGGCATCACGATCACGAGGCAATGACCCCGTTGGTCATAATGTCAGTCCACAGGGGAGAATTTAGTTAGTGATGTGCATTGTACCAGGTCAGATTAACCTCCACTAGGTTAATCTGACATTGTAATAAGTACTATTGTAATAATTTCCTGGTAAAAAGTCACGATGGGCTAACTGACCTGAACTCATATTCATCTTATCATCCTCCACTAGTGCCTCGCCATCGTAAACCATTAGCGCAAGCGGGAGCACCATTTGATTATTATCAATTGAAAAAATACGAGTTACAGAAACAACACCGCATAAGACACGGGCATCACAATGTAATATAATAAGCAGCGGTTACTATTTTACTCCTCGTCAAACTCCAGTTTGTTTGCAGTTCTATTCACTATCTACATTTTAATAATAAAATCATTGCCTACACTATAACGCAAATTACTTACTGGTTAAATATTAGCTTTCACAAGAAATTAACATTCTAAGACAACAACTCATCATATAAAATCATATGAAAAAATATCTAAGATAGTAGTCGGCTTTTGATGCAAAAGCAACGTGATTAAAATGGCAAAGGCAAGAAGACAACAGGAACACTCCTTATTAAATTATTAGTTAGTCGTTAAAAGCTGTTAAAGATAAATACTGACAACGAAAGGTGAGCCAAAAACCTCAAAACGAAACACAACACTCATATTCTAAAGTTTTGTAGTAACCTAACTTTATTGTCAGTAATCGAATTTTTCATCAGGTATTCATTCCGTAACTTACCTTTTAAAAGTGATGCGTTCAAATAATTCCGTCCGACCGAGTAAATACACTAAAAATAAAATAAATTAATTAAGAGGATAAATAACTTTAATCAACTGCATATAGGATAATATAAGGTAATAACCAACTTAAACTTACTATTTAAAAAAAAATTAATAATACTTTTTCTATGCTATTTCTTAACTTTATGTTGTTAAGTTCAGGGATGGTATCAGACCAAATGTAACTGTTTCGGTAACTATAGAATACATTATAATATAATACTTTACATACGATATATAGAATATATAGAATACTTTATAAATTTGTTAACTTTCTTTTAATTTTACTGATTTTATGAAATAGTTTCGCTATTTTTTAATTAGGTTAGGTCTATGTTATCTCAATTAATTTAGTTTAACATTTTATCCAAGTTATTATAATGATTAAAGCTAATAAAAAGGATATAATGTTTTAGTAGTTTGTAATATATTACCTGATTGGTTCTTGCGTCGTAAGGTATGACATACGTGGATCCGTCCAATCTATGAATCCTCCTACCTATCATCGGTATTCCGTGCTCTTTTATAATATGTTGTTCCAATCCCACATCCTTCAAAGCCCTCCTTCCGCGAACTGATAAAGCTAAATTAATAGACCTACCTCTCACTTGAGGTGTCTTTCTTATATCTAAAATTATAAAAAAAAATGAAGCAATGTTATCTGTTCTCTACAACAATAGTAGTCAACACGCAACTATATTTTGAAACAAAAGACATGCAATATTAATTCGATTTTTTATACATAATTCAGTATTTTTGAAACAACGTTACCACAAATGTATTGTCAGGTAATTTTGAATTTTCATTATCGAACGACAAATCGTTATGATAATCGACCTATGACGACCTCAATAAAGTTGAAATTATAGTAATTAGAAATTATTAATTTCTACCCCTCCTGTAAAGAGCCTAGCATATTAATTATGTTATAGACTATTACTTGCATGTTTGATTATTAACAATGATGTGTGAGTTGTCTAGTAATGTACTTTGAATTTTAGAACATGTTTTTACTTCCTACATGAATAGCATGCAATATCTACATTGTTGTATTAAAGTCATTAGAGTCAGTATTATCTTTGAACCATAATGTCTTGATGCATGCAGTCTAATGTATTGAATGAGGTGCTTTATTTTACTAATATTAAAAGCATTAGTGAAACACTGTGGCGCATCCTATCATAAGCACATTTAATCTTCAGGAAGAAGGTATAATAGCAGTCATGAATACAATATACAGAGCACTATATGATGTTGTTAGATGTCAATGGTTTTAGTCATATCTATAAGCTGCGACACCATTTTCAGTATCAGAATTTGAGTACCTACGTAACATTTTTTATACCACAGTAATCAATTAAGTATAAGGCGCATCTGATAGTAAACGATCACCGTAGTCTATGGCTGCCTGAAACACAGGGTGTACTGAGCGCGTTTGCGAAAATCGTAACCTGGGCTAACATTATTAGGTTAATTATGAACGGTCCATGAAAATGACGACCTCTTTGTTGAGACGCTAATCGAACAGCGTTGTCGGCACGGGCCGTCCGGGATAAACCTAATAATGTGAGCACAGGTTAAATTATTGAAAAGTATCACTTTGTTGGTTATCCGTAGTAAGTATTCATGTTTATAATGTTTGATTTATAAACATTCCAATGTAATATTGAAATACACTATTATACTAAGCTAAACGGCAGTTCATTCTAGGAATATACCTTCACGATACTCATAAAGCTGTACGCGATGCCCTCTTCTTGCTAAATATAGAGCTTCAAGAGACCCAACCTGAAAAATTTGAAATTAAATGTTATAAGACCCCGGTATATAAATAAAGTCATATTACTCGTATAATATGAAGAATAATTAGATTACTACATATATATCGAATTACATTATCATTTATTAGGTATTTTTAAGTCGATTATATATTGAAAATTTACTGCAAAGTAAATTTCTGACAAACAGTCCTAAATTTAAAATACTGAAACGATGGTTGGATGGATGGATGGAAATGCTTGTAAATGTTACCACACGGTCGACCTCTGACATATTAATATTTCTGATTGCTACTTCTGATTATCTAAGATTTTATATCATATTCTATATATATAATCAAAAAAGTTTTAAGATTATTTATTATTATGTATCTTTCTTCAGCTCATATGATGCACTCTACTTATTGATTTGTTGATGTTGAACTTCAATCATACTATATATATATAATTAATATACGAGTATATATCTATGTATTTTCCGAGTTATCAATAAGAAAGAAGTCAGAATACTGTCAGTGGTACAAAGTATCAAGATGTTTACTTGATTCTTATTGCTCATAATGAGTACAGTGAGTTCAACATATTTCTAATTAATGATCATGTAAATGTTAATGAAGTTATCAACATAAATTATAGTAAATATATAAAATAATACGTCATACTATACCAATGTCAATGTGTAGATACTATAGTATAGTAATAATAGTATTTCCTTCCTAATATTACAGAGGATTTTGTTTAATACCTCGGCTTCGGTGGTCTAGCGTTTACACGCTGCCGTACACAATCGCGGGTTCTATTCCTCGCACGGCACAAACATCTGTATTCGTGAGTATGATTGTTTGTGAATACGTGAATATGTCTATGTATTTGTATCAGTTATCTATTACCCATAAGACAAGCCTTAGCTAGCTTAACTTGGGTCTAGATGGCGCTGTGTGATTTGTCCTGAGATTATTATTATTATTATACCATTTTGCAGTTGAACAGAACCAGTCGCAATGAAGTATTGACATTCATGTAAGTAACGTTTGGCATAAAGAACATAGAATTTATATTCAGCATAATATTCCTGTTACACGAAGTTGCAATCTATACTGAAAAATAGTCTTTTTTTCTTTTAGTCGACTTCAACTACGTGTCACTTAACTTCACAGTTAACAATGTTCAGCGCGGCGTAGTTACCAGTGCAATATGAAACGCGCGCGCTAGAATAAAAAAAAACTAACCGCTTAGTTGGAGTGTAATTCTAGTTTGTCTGATAGTTGCCTACTCTGATATTTCAGGAACAAAATATATTATTGCTTTTTTCTTAATGCCGAAATAATGACATCCAATATAGACGATTTATAAAATAAAATTTACTCATATATATTTAACATATATGGCTGCATGTCCCCGATCCCTCTCCATTTTAAAGATGCAGTCCGCAATGCCTAATAAAATTGAAAATGATTGAAATCTTGTCCATAGAATAAAGCAACTAATATCTACGTTACACACTAGTCAGATTTGATTTAAACAAGTTTTGTTTTAGACTTACATGTAACTGAATTCTCTATTTTTACCAAACTTATCTTTAGCTCATTCATATGAGTAATTCCAAACATAAAAAAATGAAAAAATGTGTCATTAGAATATAGTAAATTTTCATAATAAAGAATTTTTTTTTTATATCTACTGTAATAGAACATAACGTAAATATTTACAACAAAATATCTTTACAAATATTGCTACCGCACTTGGGTATTGGGAGATGCAAGATCTCGGAATAGAAAGAGAAGGAAAACTAATAAATACCTACTTTGTAATTTGATTGCGTGGACGTACTCCTCTTTTAAGTTTTCTGAATTATCCGTTTTTAACAGCTAGCGTGAATACATACTTCACTTTTTTTTATATTACTTCATGTTTATAAACAAATAAGTTTTGTCTATGTGTTGATTGTCGGTCACGTTCATTCATTTAGTGTAGATTCCATTATGTAATGTAATTGATACTATGGAGGGGTCAAGTCTCATGATTCGCTTCACAGATACTGATAAAACATGCACAATTAGTGAAGTGAACTAACCCTAAAAACTTTAATAATTATATTACTTTTGACTCCGTTTGGGTAATCAAAACTGTGACCCCATTATGTGGCTTCTCATACCACTGGATATCTTCCATGCGATTAGAGCGATTGTTTTGACTTGTGTGTAGACTCATAAAAGATTATATCGGTATTATCTACACACGTGATATTAAATAATGAACTAATTATTGAAATTTCGTTTTTATTGCTCCTTCAGCTAATTCTTCATTAACTAATTGATGGCTTATGTAATAGATCTGGCTAAGTACCTTTATAAGGTTAAAAATACATTATCTTAATAAAGAATTAGTTTACTAAAGGAATACAAATATTAAGTAAATTTTTATACTATGCTATAATATGGAAATTAATTTCTTATCTTCTATGAATCGTCCTTTGTAAATGAGATCTCTGTAGAGTTTGTGTACGTGCACAACATGTTTAAGAATATTTTTTTTTAGGATGTATGTATATTTACTAATGTTATCACAATTTCTATTACTTGTATTATCTTTATAGTATTAGTTTCTGGCCGCAATTACGCGTTAGTACGCGTGACCGTGATTTTCTGAAATTTCACCTGTGCCCTTCTTCAATCCAAATATTACACATATACCAAAGATGATAAATAAGCAAACAAACTATTTACTATCGTTTTTATAACTTGTAACAATTATAAAAAGTGTCTATATTGCATTACATGTATATTTATTTTTATTTATACAAATTTATATTGTATGTAACAAGCTAAATTGTACCATAATTCGTTAGATTTTGATCAAGAGCATGACGTCTCTTGAACGTTGACCGGTGAACATCTAAAACCTTTACAAAACGAAATATATGGTGACGCCCATGTTACCTATACCCTTCGTACAATAGGGCCCTAAGATCTGCCGGTGTCCCTGTACACAATAATTTGACAATTCTAAGTATTAGATGTGTTTCGGTTTGAAGCATCGCATATGCGAAGGCACCTTAGTTAACTCCAGATAGTATGTCCGTGACGCTATTTAAGAATTTTCTAGGTGCATAAAATCATTAGCTGTGCAGACAGTGGAAATATATGAGACCGGAAGCTCCCAAAAATGTAATTTTGCACACACACTTTGACATTGGTATAATTTAGAAATATTTAGATAATTAATTTATAACGACGTTTAATGATAACGATAGGTTTATAAAAAGATGTTTGTTTATTGTATTATATATAAATAAACATCTTTTTAATAACCGATCGTTTTAAAAATCATTGCCATATGCCGCATAAGAAAATACCTAATATACCTAAATTAAATGTAAAAATTGGAGAAAATACAGGTAAATATTTAGTTCTTTAATTAACTCTGCTTATACAGTGGGAATTATGGCGCGAAAATATATTATAAAAAAAAGTACATACCAAACCACCTCCAACCACGGCGATGTCTAACGATTTCTTCGAGTGTCCATTCTGCAAAGCCATCTCTTAGAACTCTTTTTTTAATTATAATTAATAGTATTAGTATAGTAATATTTTAAAATAGTAATTAATGTGAGAGACAGTGTTTATTGTAAATTTATAAACAAACGCAATAAACAATATTATTGCGTGTTGCGCGCTTTATTTATCCGCACGGGCGGATACCTACCCAACTGAACGGTATCGCGACCAACCATCTAATGCGATATAGTACTTTGTTTTATTATGTTATTTATCCAATAATGATGCTGTCTGTAGGTCATACTATCAATTACTATATGAATATTTATACAAAATATAGTACTCCCGTGTCTGTTCTGCCTAACTTATCTATAGGTCTCAAGTTAGGTATTGTTTTATATTTATCAACCAAACAGTCACGAGGTAGACACGACAGACAGATAAACGATACACTTATTAAACTCCTATTGCCATAGATTTCTAATTAAAAATAATAATGCTTGGACTGTTTTAATTAAGCAATAATTGTCTATATCTGAGAACGATGTGACCTAATAGCTTGACCTAGTAGCTTAGTAGAATTCGAATCTGGCCGGCTAGATAAAACTTTCTATCAATTGATATTTTTTGCTTTACTCTCCGGTAAAAGAAAACCCGATAACAAACGAAATTATTCGAACAGAAAATATTTTTAATTCAATGTGTGTGTTACGTTCACCCCAATATCGACGATTGGGAGAGTCAGGCATTTGAGCCTCTACTTAGACTATCCCTATTAGAATTGCAGTGTTGAAGGTATATATATGTACCTATATGTGTAAATAAGTAAATAAGTAGTTCTTTAGAGACTGACAGATGACGATAGCAGGGGGAAGTGGATTGTCAGTAATGTGGACTAATGAACTCAGTACTAGCAATGTACCATGTCAGGTCCACCTCGTTGCGCTTTTGCTGCAAAGCATCGTGCTTATTTTTTGCTGAATCTCTTACCTACACTGGTCCCCAACCAGCAAATAATAATAATATGAGTATACGAGGTCAAATTAGTTATAGTCCATAACTGATTTGACCTAATCCTCATATTATCATTCTTCGCTGATGCCCTGCCAGCTTGAGGGCATCATATCATTATCATCCATTAAAAAAGGTGACGATAGTAGTATAGTACATTACTGCACTAAAGAGTTACAAAAAATCTGTATAATAACGATTCTATGTAAATAAGTTAATCAATTTTGAATCTTCTTGCAATTCATAAATTCAACATCGATTAATTAATTGCGATAGCCTGGTTTCAAAACAGTCAATTTACAATGGCACTGTTAACATTCTCTGCATCGTAAAGTAGCTAATAATAAAAAATCGCATCTAGATTCTATAAAGATATTTGCCAGTCATAGCCTTCATACTTTGTACAAAGTCGTTTGGATGAGTAGTGAGTACATTTATCTCTCCTTAATTGTAATACTTTCGTCACTAACAATCCTTAATTGAAACAGATTAATATTTTGCCAAGGATCGTTAGTAACAATGTTGCATAATTAACCCCCTGTTTCTATAGCAGCCGTTTAATTGATCAAAAAACGGAAAGGGAATTAATGTGCCAAAATGCGCTTTCTTATATGCGATCCCCGTATTTTGTTAAGTTTGTTTTATTTCTTGGCTATGTTTATAAACATAGTTTGCTTTTATTGCCCAACTATCAACATTGCCAGAATCTTTTGATCGTAGAAAATTAAAGTCAACGTCGCGACTGTGATACATGATACAAAGCCGCAGTTTTATATTACCGGTCGGCAGCTTACGGTTCCGTTAACACAAATAGGGTTTCCAAAGGTATTCGAATAGTACGCAATTGATCATAAGCCTGTAAGTTAGGGTTAGGGGTATGTTAATAATGGGGATTATCAGCTGGCAATGTACTCCACATGGTGTGTTGGCCTCAATATGATGTCCCCTAGAAACAGTCATAATGATAACTATACCTGTTAAATTCGCCACTATGATCAAACTGACTTTACTTTGCCCTCATCTTATAATCTTCCACTGATGTCTCACCAGCGATACCTCCTGTATGCCCTGGCATCTAATAGACCTAATAGATATTAATAAACTGTAGTGCGGAAATACTACAACTATATAGTTTCTGATGTATAGTATTGTAAACGTGACACCGCAAATGTTATTACAAGTTCTAGAAATTAAGCACATCAATATGTACCTATATTTAACACTTTCAGTATTTTATTCCTATTAACTTTAAAACAGGTACATTAAAATATTCCAAAAAATGTGTATAGATTATAAATAGTATTTTAATTATTGTAAATGCACAACAACTGAATAATGCGAAATTCGGTACTGAATTATCATTTGTTAATAGAACTACTCAAATGTAATTGGCTGTCTATCCTAATGAGATTCAAATCTATATATATATATAGATATGAATATGATATAGTTGACCAAACTTGCAAGGTACTTAGGTCGTAATGTACATTATTATTACATCACATATTATGATAGTAAAAATTCCACTCGGACGTAGTTGTATCGTTTAGAATTAACACCATTAACAACCTCTTTATGCATAATGAATTCTATTCTATATTATTCTACGTCAATTGAAAATAAAGAATATTTTATTTTTATAAATATCCTTATCGAATATTATCAGCTAAACCAATGTATTATATATTTTTTTTTATTTTTTATGCTTAATGTTTTACTGTACGAACCGCTGCAACGAGTACAATGCCCATCATTATTATAATAATAATAATAATAATCTCAGAACAATTCACACAGCGTCATCTAGACCCAAGTTAAGCTAGCTAAAGCTTGTGTTATGGGTACTAGACAATTGATATAAATACATAGTTTTTTTTTCATAAATACATACATAATATACACAGAAAACACCCAGACCGATACAAACAATCATACCCAGGAATACAAATGTTTGTGCCGTGCGAGGAATCGAACCCGCGACCATCGGACGTAAAGCGGTGTGCTAGATCGCTAGACCACCGAGGTCGTCAATTATTATAATAAGTCGTCATTATTATAATAAGCACGCTAATACAATATAATAATCATAGTACACTGGAAAACGATATTATAATGTATAGGTATATACACCCATATAGATTACTGTTACGTCACTTACTGCTTCATATGACGTTAATAGAAAGAGACCTTTTAGAGATATCAGTAAACTTACTGATATCAGTAAACTTACTTATGCGAACTCGAATTGGTGTTAGTTTGGATTAGAGTGTAATTACAAATATTTAATTGTTGTCTAATTTTTTTAAACATCTATAACGGTTACGGATTTTCTACAAAGATATCAATAAACATAAATAAAATAACATCTTTTACGTCGTTATAAATTTTTAGGTAGTGATAGGATAGTTACATCATTACATAGTATAAAACAGTCGCTGTCGCTGTTTATCCGTCCCTATGTATGCTTAAATCTTTAAAACTACGCAACAGATTTTGAAGCGGTTTTTTTTAATAGAAAGAGTTATTCTAGAGGAAGGTTTATAGATATAATACTTGAGTAGCTAGTATAATGTATAAAATTTTCGTGTCAGTGTTTGTAACAAAACTCCTTGCGAAACCTTGACCAATTCTTACCAATTTTTGTGTGTATATTCAGTAGGTCTGAGTATAGGACATAAACTATTTTTCATATTTCAAAGTGACATACGATGGTCCACCCAAAAATAAATGTTTTCATTTGGACAAAATATTTTATTTGAATGATTTATGATTAGCATTAATAATACATACAACCCTAAATTTTCATCCTTCTACCATAAACCCCTATTTTTTAATAGCGATGTTAATTTCTATGGCAAAATAACGCTTGCCGGGTCGGCTAGTAGGTATCGGTATATATAAGGATAAATACATCGATTTGTGGAAGTATTTATTTTTATATTTATAATTATAATCAAGTTCAGTATGATATGGTCTTAAAAACTCATATTGCTTGGCATCGACGAGACATCTTCCGATGGGCTTTGACTTGAGCTAAACGAACTGAGCGTTTCCCGAGTTTCCTCTTTAATCTTGAGGTGATCTGTGCTAGAGGGCGGCCGGGGCGGTAGAGATCTATCTTTGTGCTCCTTGTCTTTGGACGATTTATCCTTGCTGCTGTGCTTATGCTTGTGTTTGTGTTTATGCTTTTTCTTGTCCTTCTTCTTTTTCTTTGCCTATATTTAAAGATATAGGTAATAGGTATTATATGTAGTAAGGATGATGAGAATGTTTATTTTTTTACGTTTGGACCTGGATAACAGTGTATAAATTATCCAGAGTAATTATTATTATTCATAAAATTACAACCCAGTTACACCCAGTTGTGCACCGCACAACACAAATATTGACGATACATTTAGATCTGTTGATTTGTATAAATGCAACAAACTAATCTTGTAATAATAATATGCGCATTTATAATGATGGTATACTTGATAATGGAGAGAAAATGTAATAAGAAATACGTATTATTAATAGCCTAACAAATTAAATAAACACTATCACTGATTATATATTCTGCAACTACATATATTATGTGTGTCAATATTTCGCTATAAATTAGATGTTATAACATTATACATATTTACATAAGAAATAAAATGATGAAACTATTATAAAACTTAATAAAGTAATGAAAAAAAATATTGTGTATAGCTGTAACAATTTCAATAAAAGAACATAGCCTATATGTTATTCTGATACAGCTTATATTACTATAAAGTTTCATTAAAATCCGTTCCGTATTTTTTTAACAAACATCAAAATACTTACATACTTACAAAATTCGCATTTATAATATTAATTAATAATAATATTATTAAGATTAAGATATGTTTTACCTTTGGTGCGCCCATTTCATCTGTGATGTCATGTCGGAACATTCCAGGTTCAAAACCTATTGGTCCCGAAGTTCCCGGGATGCCGGGTAACGCTACAGCATTATCTGATGTGAACTCTCTCTTTGCAGCGTCCTAATAATAATAAGAAATATTTAATCTTATCTATATATATAAAAATTAATTGCTGTCCGTTAGTCTCGCTAAAACTCTAAAACCGATGGACTAATTTTGCTAATTATGGTTTTGCAATATTTGTAGAGCTCCAAGGAAGATTTAAGTGGTGAGAAAACATGAAGAAATTGCATGGAAAATATTAAACAGTCCGCACAATAATTTATTGCGTAATTAAGTCTTCTGTAATGTAATTGAGCATAGATTAAGGAGTTATGCTAGTGTCAGAATTACATTGCCCAATCTTACCTTTCACATAATAGAAAAAATGTTTTTCCCATCAATTTGCCCATGCGATTTTTCAAAAGTATATAGGACAAGAACGCGTAAGCGATATTAATTAATCCTTATTGAGGTAAACTAATACAGCAAACCCCCTATAACACTGTATTTTGGTTCCGCGTTATAGAAAAACGCGTTGTAGGAGTATACCTGTATAACGCGTTTTTACTACCGCATATAACATGTTACCTATAAATTATTCACGTTTAACTTTTCCCGCTTAAGGGGAATAAAATCGAATATTAAGAAAAAACTATATTATAATTATAAACTATACAAATAATATAAAATTAAATTAAAATTTATAATTTTACAGTACAGAAATATATCGTGGAAAATTCCCGCGTTATATGGGGGAATACTCGTGTCATATGGGGGATTCCGATAATTGTTTTTATTTATAACGTCCTGTTGAGTTGGCCTTCTATATACTACTCCCACAAAGGGTCTAATCACCACCCCGTCAGCATATGCCATAATTATTTCATGATGACCAACCAAAAACCCCTAAATGGCACACTACAAAACATATACACTAAAACTACACACATATACACACTACACTATATATATAAACACTTACACTAAAAACAGCTCCGGGCATATCATGAACGGTAGTAACATCGACTTTCACGTCTTCTTCTTTGATGCTGGAGATCGGTACTGGCAGTATATGGCCGGTACGCTCAGATTCCGACAATGGGGGCACAATGGACCCTGATTCCGTAAGGTGTCCAATTTCGGAACCATATTTTACCTATAAATAATATAAAAGTTACATCATCAGACATATTCAAATCCTACAATTGTAAGTTCATTTTTTAAAATGCATACAAATAATAATAATAACACCAGATTAATTCACACAACATATATCTAGTGCCAAACTAAGCCAAATCGATATAAATACTTAAATGCATTTTTTTTGTAAATACCTAAATAATATACACAGTAAACCCAGACCAATACAAACAATCATACTTATAAATACATTTTTTGTACTGTGTCCAAACCTGCGACCATATGATGCAAGGCGATGTGCTAAGCCGTTAGACCACCGAGGCCCTCAGCCACGGCACCGTAGACCACAGCTGTACTATAATACTTAATTACGTAATTAGAATGGCAAACATGCTGATGGCTCACCGGCTCACGGACGGCTCACGGTTAGTAAGCTGTAACCGTCGGCTATATATATTAATAACACTACGGACATTAGGTTATTATGTGTCACCAGTGATACCACTAACGCGTTGCCATTTCAGAGGACTAACATGTCATGGCTCTTATCCGATAATGTCACTATATAATCTGACCCTACAAGCGAAACATAGTCTATAGAATAGAAAATCATTTATGCAAATAAACTTAATTTAAGCACTTTTGAATAGTCATAACAATGTTTTTTCTTAATCTAGCGCTCATTCGAAAAGCTGTTCTTGTGTGTTGCTCTTTTAAACAATCCTTGTAAGTTCACATTATACAATTCGAAACGTGTGAATACAAACTACCAATCAGCACTAATTTATTAGGGTTAAATGTAAGAACACAATAAGATTAAATCAGTCGTAGTTATAAGAGCAGACCAGTCCCTACAAGCAGTACTCGTTCACGAGTATGACGGATGAGTCAGTCATCACTATATAGCAAGCTGCTTGGAGGTTGAAACAAGTAAGAGTGAGGTTCTCACGCAGACAACTTTTTACAGTCTGCATCTGTTATAACACTTTAATAGAATATATTGTACATAATTGGCGATATCTCTTAAAAACCGGCAATATTGCCATATTGTATATTTTATTTATTCCATTATTAGCGAAAATAAATGTTCTAGTTCTAAATCTAGAGGTGTCTTCACCTAGTACAGTAGCGATTTACAAGGCTACTAATATCAAAAGGTAGCACATGGTGGAAAGTATTGAGCAAATTTATGTCCAGAAATAGGAAACCATAATTAATATTTATAGCTTATATACTTAAGTGTATGTATTAGTAGAACTTCTGGCAGTATTTATACAAACAAAGAAGGTACACACACAGTTGTATTATTTCACTATCTAAATGTACCTACTTGATAAAGTAAGGCAACGACATTTTAACAATCGTAATGAATTGTATTAGAAAGGTTATCTATTACAATTATGTGTGACTTTTTTATTTTAGGAAATTTAATATCTCTTTTTCTTAGATTCATCTCAATTAAAAGTTAAAAAAAAACTATTTATATTTTATGACGTTTTTCTATAAATGTTCTAAGAATAATAATGTATAAATATATAGGTATGTATTTACTCACGTCTTCAATCTCTTTCTTAATAACAGGTTTTACTTCTAACTCCTTTTGCCGCTCTCTTTCCCTCTCCCTCTCCCTTTCCCGTTCGAGTCTCTCGCGCTCTTTATGGTGCATCTGTTTCATCATAGCCTGAATCTCTGGTAATGGTACACATATAGGCCTTTTTGGTCCGTAAAGTGTGTAGTAGAGATCTACAAGGTCGCAACGTAGTCTTGCATCGTTTGATAAATGACTATTTACATTGTTCCATAATCTGCGAATACGAAACAACAAATCATATTAATTTAATATATAATGTGTACAAAAAGTAAACAAAATCTATTCTATAAAAAATATTATAATTCGACAGTACACAAACAAATCCTTAAAGATGTCTGAGTATAAATTATTCCTTTGCATTCTTACAAATTAATTATGAACTATTATCGGTTCATAAAAATAATATAGTATCAATTAAAATGTCAGCTTTCTATATTTTTATCAAAAAATAATTATTATTCAAATAAATATGCATGTACTAAGGACTTTCGATTTTTTTCTTTTACTACTGTCAGGATGTGAGTATGAACCCGATAGAGCGACTTATTCTATTCCATTTGTTCTGTAAAGATTAGTGTATACCTGTGTACTACGGCTTCAGTATCGAGCCGGTGTCTCTGGGCACGCTCAAAAGGCGGATTACTTATGAGTAATCGAGCTAAACCGTGCCGCACGGCCGGATCTGGATCCCCTTCTAATGCCGTCAATAAATACGAGAGGTCCTCCGGTTTACCATCCACTCGTACAAAGTCTACCAAACACTCGAATGCGGCCAGCCGGACATCTGCGATTACATTTTAAACAACGTATCAAAAAAATCTCCTGTTATATGGTCTCGTAGACCAGATCACAATTATGAAGATAATCTCAAGCACAGAGCAGATTTTGTTGCGGTTTCTATCCATAAAGAGTAATTTCTGAGGAAACTTTAGGTGAATAATTCGTTCAGGTTTTGTGTAAAATAAATTAAATACCCGAACGAATCTGGGCGAGTCGCTAGTATTGTAATAGAAAATGATAACATTACCTAAATAATAACATCTCATATGTTAGCAACAGTATTTATAGAATAAAACAATCGCAAAGGAAGCTAAAAGTAATCACGAATCCGTCAATCAAATCCGTCGAGTGTTTCGTTGTGTTGGTCGGTTGATAAACATCAGATAGAATTGTATAAAACTCACCGATATATTGTCCATACTGTGCATAAGCTCTGAATATAGTCGGTATACTGGGCAGATGTCCGCATTGTTGCAAACGTCTTACCGCCCGCAAACAGCTGACACTAACCGTATTCTTATAGCACGGTAGTACTTTCTCCAAGTTCAATACTCGTGTAATCTCCTCTAATACTAGGCGAGTGTCAGCTGATAGAGAATCAGCTGTTATTGGAGCGCCCTGTACAATTTATTTTATCGATATTATTTATTTAATTCAATTCACGACTTCCATGGTTTAGCGGTTTAGCACATCGCTATACTTCTGATGGTCGCGGGTTCAATTCCTCGCACGGTACAAACATTTGTATTCATAAGTATGATTGTTTACAAAAAAAATATGTAAGTATATATAAGTTGCGTAGTACCCATAACCATAACACAACCTCTGCTTAACTTAGGACTAGATGGCGCTGTGTGAATTGTACCAGGGTAATAACAACCCTAACATACCACAATAAACTCATTTCTAATAAACAATTAGACGATTAACTTTGTTTTATAATAATATATATATATATATATAGGTTTGCTTATAAAAAATAAGCTAAGCCATTAGTAACCTAATGCATACGTATCTATATATTTCTTTCCAGTTCTTCTCATTTGAATCTGTATACCGAACAGGACGGTAGGGAAAAAATATAATACAAAAAAAATTACGTTCATAAGCGTCCAAAATGTCTTATTTGTATAAATGATTTTTTATTTCATTTGATTTACTTACCGGTTGTAGCACAGATATAACTGGCGTGATAGTTGCTGCCAGAGCGTCCACTAGCGCCGCCTTGTAATAATTATCGGAGAAGTGATTTTTAGAATTGTCATTATATTTAAACAGATCAAGTAAAAATCTCACAACCTCCGGTGGACATATGCCGTGTATATTCCGTAGACCTAAGAAACAAAAAAAAACATTACTAATAATTTGTCTATGTGGTCACGGCACTGACGATCTCTTTATATGTATACATAAAAAATATTTCTCTCGCATTTATATATTAATGTCTTATATGTTTTAAGTGGGAATGTAGATTAATGACCCCATTCCTATAATGTAATGTATGTATATTAGTTTGACATCATGATAATTTCTTGCTGAATGTCCCACGATGGGGTAACTAACTTCACTTCTCCATTGGTGCCCCGCTAACGTAAACCGTTAGTTAACACAGGTGGGTGCAGCATTCCATTATCATCCATTAAAAATACATGTCTTTTTTATCTCCCATATCTCTATTACAAGTACAAAACTATATTTAACAACCACAATATATTACGTTATTTGATTATATAGATATGAATATGTATATTTATGTATATTTATAGACATATATATTTATTTTTGTTTATTACGTGACCAACCTACCTTCTCTTATTTTTACTTTCTCTATACATCCAAAGCAAAGAAGAGATTGCTTAGCGATAAGACCGCCTTTTGTATCAGTTAATGTATAATTTACTATTTTCAATCATTTTTGTTCAATAAAGAGTATAAATATTATATCACTCACCGGCCATGGCAACAGGAATAGTCTTCTGTAGGAAATAGTGTTGCAAATTGTCAAAGTTGTTCTGTTTGATAATATGAGGCGCCGCGAATGAACCAAACATCTTACGGAATATTGTAAGCATGGCGGGAGGACCCGCCCATGTGCTGATCAACGCATTAGCCACCTACAAGGTATTGTAGAATAGTTATTAGCCGATCAAATTAGATAATTACATTAACCGACTTAAAGAAATAGGTCCTAAATTGGGTTGTACATATTTTTTTCAATTATAACAAATATATTGTTTATGTGTGAACCAATATTTATGAAATTTCTGTTTGACCAAAATCATATCAACAAGAATTTTCCAATTTTATTTACAAAAGAGCTCTTAATCTTTTGTAAATACAATTGAAAAGTATCTCCATCCTTTTTAAGTCGGTTAAAAAACTGTTCCAACACAATACACACATACCTTAGTCAAACAATGTGCCGCCCTACACCGTATCTTGTAATATGTTTGCTCATTCTCTATGGTATCAGTGAGAGCCTTTCTGGTAGCGGACTCTGGATAGTTGTGCAATGCGTCTATAGCTTCGCTTTGTGCGGTGACGTCACGCTCGTGACGCAATTGGTACTGCCACTGGTAGTCCGGCTGGGATATCACCGTACTACGCAAGAGCGACATCTCGGGGTCGAGACGGATCCACAGGACTGGAGAATCGCTATGAAATAAAAATTGTAACATATGAAACTCTGAATGACACATTTTCGATCTTACCCGTATTAGTGCAGAGCGTATGATAATTAACAAAATTCAAAATTCTTTATTTAGGAAACACGATTTTTACTTATTTCTATACAGCTGTTGAAAAAATTGCTTCACTGTTCTACATCTTATATCATTTATGCTTATGCATATAGTTTATATAGTTGTGAACTATTGCTAATTTATTATACTGTTTTCTTTCTTTATTTATATAACTCTATATATGGCATAACAGGTATATGGCCGACCGATCAGATGAATGGTAAAAGAATTTTTAATGAAATTACTATAACAATGCATTTAGGCAGCGCAAGCGCAAAATAAAAAAATTAAAATCTTACTCCATAGCCGACAGATCCATATCGACCTCCTCTCCGGTACACAACGGAATCTTTTTCTTCTTGTTTCGTCTGCTCTTGCTATGGCATGTGATGTCCGCTTTGACCACCGTGTTCTCAATCTGCAATGTATGTTTGAATGTGCCATCTAACTCTTGTAACTGAACGAGTAGCGGTCCCACATACTTCCTGATGCCACGGTCGTGGACACAGTCTTGACGGATCTCCAGTTCAACTGTGTTTCTATAAACAATAATACTTATAATAGTAGTATAGAAAGTACATAGATTGAGAGTTTATTTCAAAAGATAATACTATAGGCTATGTGCCCAGTTATTCATCAACATAAGCCATCCTTTAAAATTTCCCAGCACTGCCTTTCCTGAGAACTGAGACTATATGCGTCCACATAAAATTTTTTGACTGGCATATCTCAATATTTAAACCGAATTATAATTTTTACCACCACCCACCCTGACGAAAACATCTAAGATGGTTCAGATAGTATTATGAAGCCTAGTCAACTTCAGCTGCCGTTCCCAGGGTGAGTTAAAGAGCAGCACCACGTGCCAACATGTAAAGGTCATTAAAATCAAACACAACTTAGTAACAATATCGCCTTCTACGAGTACGAATGTACAACGTCATCTAGTGCTCCCTGCACAAACTAAGTTATCTATAAAATAAATTTCCTATGCAAGATCTTAAGCAGTTTTCGGCTGGAAGGACATCATTAGCGAAATTAGTCTACGATTCGGGGGCTAATATTAAACTATAGACATACCTTTTCCGATTGAAAACGGATGTCAATTGAAACTTAGCGTGGCCACCAGTGCGTACCCATTGGTCAACGAACACAGCCATATCCTTCCCTGTCACTGTGAATATGGCTTTTACAAATGAGTTGGTGGACAACAGCAACTGTCCCCAAAGGCGGCTGCCGATCTTCGTATTAGCCGCTTGCGTAGCTAACGACAGCTGTTTATTAAAGACTTGTAGAAGCAGCTCTTGACCGATACGCTGCTCCAACATCCGGAGAACTAAATGTGACTTTTTACGCATAACCTGATGTAACAAATAGTGTATATTAATTCCTAAATTTATATACAATATATTAATATAGTTAATAAAATCAGTTTTACTAGGATTACTAGCGAATGTTTATATTATTTTCTATAATAACATATGGACTTCCCAAAATGTAATTTTTTACCCTATTAACATTTAGGTATATGCAATTTTTACTACCAGCAATATTTATACTACGACTATAAAAATACAGTTATGAAATTTATTACTTTAGATTATTTATAGAATTTATTACTTACATTTTATATAAAATCTTTAACATCTAAGTCTAAGATAACAAAATAATATGGATATAGCTGTCCTACCTCCATATATCTTGGCGACATGGTGTGCACATTGCGTACAGGAAAATAGAATTCTTTTGTGTCTGCACGCGCACCTGTAGCAGGGGGCTGCCATGGATCTAGAACTATTCCGCCATATTGTTCCTCATAACTTACTACCTGATGATACCAGAAAACAGGAGTTACATAAAACATTGACTAGTATCTTAATACTGTTCAATACACTAATGATGCCAGATGCCTGTATCATAAAATATTTATATGAACTCAACTTATTAGGAAAACAATATTGTTTGTAGTTTTATATTTAAATTTCTACTAAAATTTGTTTCTTAATAATTTACAGGAATAAGAAGGCATTTTAAATAAACACATATACACTCATAATCAGTATCAAATATTAAAGTCGTGTTTAACGCATAGTTAACATTTTACATGTAATACTCAGTGACATACAGGTATGTCACTGAGTTTATTGAAATCCAACTCTGACATAGCAGGAGCATATCTCCCAGAATCTCTGGAATATTTTTTGTTAATGGTGTCTCTATCAAGAATTGACCATGGCGGTAATAGTCCATGATACTTAGAGTAGGTACTTTATTGTAACCATAGAATACAGTACAGTTTATATCAAAACCACATACCTCTTGCAGCTCTTGATGTATCCAATATCTATACTCATTATTCCCAAAACACTTTTTCGCATACAAGGCACACAAGTAGTCAGGTATTCCCTTTGCCAGCCACAGATCAGACCAATTCTGCATAGTGATGAAACACCCGAAAAATTGTTCAGCTACTGCTTGTGCCATGGCCTTCCTGCTTATGTAGCCCTGGTCAATGATAGCTATAGAATGCAGCAGATGTGTGCTCATTATAGACATAGTTGTGTATGCAGTTGCATCATCTTCTGTCTGAAAATAAAAAGCAGTGTAGACTTTTGAACCAACTTTTTACCAAACTAAGACTGTAAAATGTTGCGTGGGTACATCAGTCTCAGCCAAGCCAAGTTTTGATTGTAGGGTCTAGACAGTGCATATACAGGATAAAATGTATGACATCTTAGTCCGCTAGAATGGCAATGATTGAGTGTTATCACAGATACGTGATAATGTCATGTCTGTAATGTTGTTCATGTTTATAGGCGACTAACTGTTACCTCAGGTCACTGTTTACCATCAGGTGGATTGTCAGCTTGTTTGCTATTACATCATTGCAATTACGTAAAAAAAAAAGTATATAGGCAACGGTTAGGCAGGTGGGCTATCAACTTGTTTGTCATTGAAATTACATAAAAACAATAAAAAGAAAGATATATGTTTACTAAATAAACTTGATACAAATGCCCTGCATGCCCTGCATGCGAACTATTGTTGCAATAAAGCTTGCATTCTAAGCTGAGATGTGATTTGAATGGAGATAGAGTAGTTAAATGACCGAATGGAAAGGCTTAACAACATACTTCTCACTGACAGTGCTTTAGTGGTACTGCGGGCGTCACGTGACAACATGCTCTTCGTAATACGGTAAATATCAATGCGACAGTTGGAACTTTCAACAATGTTGACCGTTAGCTTATTTGCCATTTTAGATACATGATAAAACTTGTTTACTACACTTACTTCGTCCACAAATACTTGCTTATAGCATGGATATGGATATCTAGTAGACAGTGTCTCTTCATAGAACCCAACAGCCTCATGTAAAGTTCTAACTGTGTTTTTCAATATCTGCATTAAATTTGGCAAGCAGTAATGTGTAAATTCATTCATAAATGGGTCTACATAAGCTTCAAATGGTCTGAAAAATCAAAATACAATGAGTAAAAGTCAATTAGGATATATAATAAAATATTACCTATGGAATTTATTAATAATTATATAATAATATATAATTATTAATCCTTCGGTAATATTATGAGATACATTTTCTACTGACAGAAGATTGATGCTTTTCATCAACTTGACAAAATAACTTGACATTCATAAGCAGCTAAAATGTCCTACATGAATAAATTATTTTTTAATTTTGAATCACTATATGTAAAAAAAGACTTCTGTAAGGATAAGATTTCCAATTTCCATTTTTTTATTTAATAAGTTATACTGTCATATTATATTATTACAGATAGTTTAGTACTCACCCAATGGCTAATGCTATATTAGGGGCACAAGCCGGTGTGTTAACAACATAGTGAAAAGTTTTCCGTCTATGGTCAGGGGTGAATACCACATCAACCAATTCTCCACAAGACACAGCTGTTAAACTTTCATCTACTGTGAACTCCAATTTCCAAGTGCAGGGCTCTGCATAACTGTCTACACATGGAAACCATAGACGAGCAGAGTGGCCATAGGTAAACATATGTGCAGATTTCTATAAATCAATGTGAAATCAGTTTTTAACTGTATGAAAAGAAATTCAAGAATTTAAGTTATCAGAAAAAGCTGTGCTAATGTATTGCTTATAGAAAAATCATTTCAGAGTACTAAAGTAGTACTCTGAAATACCAATTTGTAAAGAGTAGCATTGTCCTCACATGACAATGTGGTGTCCATCATATTATACATGTATATTACCACATAACTATAGGTAGAAAGAGAACTTATTTCCCATTATAATTACATAAAAAAAATTGTAACATACCTCCACTAAACTTCCTTCTCCCTCAGGTACAACAAAATGCAGGCCACCCTGGGGTGATTCCAAAGAAAATTCAATTCCGATCCTAAGGCCTCTCCCCTCTCCTATCAAGTGAGCGGCATCTTCTGGGATTTGTACATGCAGTTCACCCGAGTTATGGTCTGGGTCTATCTTTTGTGCTGCAGCCAAATGGTACTGAGAGAAAATCTCCAAGGACCTCCTGTTATGTAATTGTAAGTTATAATGATACACATCTACTTTCTTGCTCTTTTATCTTATTGCTGAGTATGTTAACAATAAATGTAATACATTCAATACTCTTATTGTTAAAACCATTTATTTCACTTATTCAAATTGATTTTCAAATAATATAATGTATTTTGTTTATTAATTTTGTATAATTTTAATTAATGACATTTATGTCATTAATTAAAATTATACAAAATGTAGTTAAATGAAGTAGCAATTATGAATACAGGTATAGTTCTGTGGTTAGCCCTGTACTATTAGGGACCAATATGATGTAGCACCGGGCATACAACAAAGTATTTGATTTTATCAGTCCCTTTGGAAAGCACTTCTGAAAAATTAACCACAATGGACAAGCATCATCATTAAATACTAAACATCATTCATTGTATTGGCATTATGCACTACAGTACATTTTCATCTTTCGCTGATTCCTATAACTTTCATGTTATTGTAAGTCTAACCTAAATTTGATTTATCATAGGTGTCTGTAATTAGATTTACACATGAATAAAGATATTTTTGATTACACATATATACCTAAAATATAGTAAATAATGCTAACTAGCATACCATTATAAAAACACTCACGTATTAGGATCTGCTTGACAAATATCCAAGAATGGGTCAAAATACTGGAAATTAGCATCATACTGATCATTCAAACAGACGCGGTATATGCGACACTGTTTAGCATTAAGGCGGATGTACCTCAAATTGTCTTTTAATGGGACTATAGTTAATTCCACAAAACCCTGAAATATCATAATACATCGTTGTAAATAAATATCCTGCAAGAATTAAAAAACATTATGAAATTAATTAAATATTACTCACAATAATACTTCTCCTCTCAAAACTAATTCCAGTCAGACTCAAAATTTGGTGAGCTGTAATTTTAATAATTAAAAATTAAATATCTGAGTTACATAGTCTTATCAAATGTATACTTTTAAAATTATACTTATAATTTGAATGGACGACAATTATCACCCGTGCGTTCTTTCTTCATCCTTAACAATTTTATTATTTAACACAACAATCAATACATTATAAACAAATTAAATGTGATATATACATATTGCGTGGAGCTTACATACTGATGATTAGTGCAAACTTTCTTTTAAAATTTTACTACTAATATACGACATATTTTTATTAAATTAACAACGCTACTGTATAAGAATCAAAGGACTGGAATGAAAATATATATAGGAAAAAATCTAATTAAGTTACTTCAAAAAGCAAACGATGTAATCAAATAAATATAACACAAATTCTGTGGGTTTGTGTAGTGCCAATGACACTGACAGTTTATCAATGTCAACTACCAAATATGAAAATCTGTGCTTTCTTATGAGAGACAATTGGCTTTTTTTTCGGTGTACTCTAATACTGTAGGAAGCAATTAGCCAAACATGCAACAACTCCCGCCTGACACACGACTTTAGTCTGAGGTTACCGACAGGGATTCGAACCTAAACTCAGACCATCGCATTTTCGATGCCCGTTGGAATTGGACGGAGATCGATGGGAGGGGCGATCGGAGGCGCCGCCAGTGTGGAGCGCCCGGCACGGGAGCGCTATGGCACCTGGTTGATTGCACGGTATGACATGGTTGAGGTCGTTGTCTTCGCCGGCGAGGACGGTCTCATGCGTGTGATAAAGCATGGTAGGGACGGAACGAGTGGATACGTAAGGTCAGCTGCCGTTATGCGGTTGTTGAGATGATGGGAATATACTTCGGGCGACGTTGCCGCGTAAGGATATGTCTCTTCGATGCATAGTCGACCATACCGACTATAAGCAGATTCGAATGAGATTTAGCGGAGTGGAGACGATTGGTATATTTATTTCCACACAAAAAACTGTATCTTCAACCGCTGAACCGATTTTGATATAGAGATAAACTGAACTTAGAGAAAGTGTGTTAATTATGGCTTATAGGACTAACAAAGATATCTTTGTCATTAAAGGCGAACGTTATTGCAAAATTGTTGATAATTCCTGTTTCAACTTATTCTATCATTACATATTCTACTTCTAATCTATAAATGTTCAGAAATATAGAGTGTATGACTATGATTTGCGGTATATTGCGGTTCTGTGGTCTGCAGTTGTAGATGTAAATTACTCTGTGAAAAACGAAACGAGATCAAAAGAGAAGGAAGTCAATTAGTATAAAAGTGGAAGACCTAATACATTTCTTATCCATATATTGTATTATTATAAATTAACTCTTTCATATTGAATTACATTTATTTTCTGTTAAAGTAATCAAAATAGAGTAAGAACGCTGTGTTCATGTTTGTCTTTTATTTGAATGGTCAAAATGTGGGACTCTCCGTACTTGACTTGTTTGGTGCTGTATATATTTTCTTTTCAAATTATCATTACAAATTCTCGCACTTCGAATATTTGGAAGCTAAATGTGGAAGAAGATCAAATTGTTGATGGATCTACATTGCCTCAGGTCTGTAAAATGGTATCAATATGTTACATTTAGGTAACTATACAAGAGATCTACCAATATTCAATATTCTTGACATTATTATCCTGATTACCTTGAATTCACCGTTTTTTATGTTACATAGGTGAATATTTCCTTAAAAAATAAATTAGTCTTCTAAAATAATCAAATGGCTATGCAATTTTTTACGTGTTATATAAATTTCTTATTTTAGGATGACACTGATAAATCAAAAATGACCAAAGAGGACTCAATTTTTAATATAATAACGTCTACAGTTTACTATGGTAATACTTGGACAAAACATGGCTTTGATATGTTTTGCACAGACTGTCAGTTATATGAACAACAGAGGTAATTATTCAAAACCCATCCATATTCATTACATACATAATATTTAAACTTTTATCATGTATCTCTATGTAAAGTCTCAGCATAACCAGATAAAATTATTTCAAATCACTGTAAATAATGAATATAATGTAATATATGTTAAGAACCTACCTGTTATACTGTGTTGATGTACATGTTTATAAATTAGAAACTTGAAATGTATGGTAAGTATGTAGGTACCCATATAAGAATCAAACAATTTTTTATTTATGATTCATGTTTTTGTTATATACTAGTTTAGGCAGTATTTTTAATTATTATTATTTTCAACTGAGCAGAACTGACAAGATGTTAGATAAAATTCTTGATGATACTTTATTTTGAGAATTAATTGTGTATGTGTATAATATTTCAGGGCTGGTACAGACCCAAGTGATGAAACTACATCAACAGAAACAAATGATGATGCTGATGATGAATATTTAGACTGTGGCAAAGCTGTGAATTTCACATATTATGACAATTTAGTTGGTGTGGCAAGAAGACACAGGCATCCAAATGTGCCTGAACCACAGGTAAAAATAACATAAGTTTAATAATATATTAAATAACTTACTGAATAATGTTTTACAAGATGATTCAGTCACTAATGTTTGCATAGGTTTGTTGTGCTAGTATAGTTATATATATGGCATAGTAAATAAAAATATGATTGAGTGAGAATGAGTCGACAATGTTATTACGGGTCATCAAGTGTCCATCAAATTGGTGATATAGTGACTCTTTGGGAAATCAGTGGAGTATGTCTAGCACCATAGCAAGATTGAAGATGTTCATTTATTAAAATCACTAAGAAAGGTGTAGATTCTACTAAAAATATTAATATATCCATACAAGTTACACCTGTAAAGCATTGTACATACCATCATAACCGTTATCCCAAATGGGATAGTCAGAGGAGTTGGCTACTTTATAGTCTTGTCAATATGGTGGCGACCACCATTCATGGTACACACATTTCACAGGGGAAATTTCAATCCAATTCATTCACTCCAATTTCGCTCCCTGCCAACTGCAGTCATCAACAACTAATTCTTAGATTATACAAAAAAACATCCTCTGTTGTTAATTGATTTTAATTATATATATTAGATATAATATTAAATAGGTATTGGTGTTTAATAATGTTATTACAATATTTATGATTCATCATTACAGGTTGCCCTCATATTTACAAAGAAAAAGTCCTTCAAAAATGGTGTGACAGAGCTAGACATAAATGCACTTGAAAAGCGATTGAAAAAAGCCAAGAGGGAAAAACCGAAGTCAGTACAATTGTACAATCAGATTGGTAATTTCTGGCGAATTAAGGGTGACACTCGACAGTCAATTGAATGCTTCAGACGTGCCCTTGCAGTATCACCTTATAATGCCGAGGTAAGTTATATTACTTTAATGTAGGTAACTAAATATTGGATTAGACATTGTCAAAAATATATGTATATAGCTAAAGTACATATGCCTCTCAAATTGAAGGAAATTTTCAATATTGGCAATAATTCTAAAAATGATGCTGTACCATTGAAACTTACAAAACTCACAAATTATACATAAAATGCTCTTATTGACAATGAATTCAATGGGAACAATTACAATGTTACCTTAAAAATGTTTATTAATGCCTGTCATTAAGTATAGCAATCATCATAACCTCTACTCTTGTTAAGTTAATCGCCTTCTTGAAAAACTATTCTATTATTAAACTGTTAATTCAGTGAGTCAATAATGATGATTCCTCATTTCCTTAAATTGTTTTAAGACATATTTTAGAAAATATTTAACACATAGAGTAATAAGACTGACCCAGGACAAGTATTCAAACACTGTCTGCTCCCGAATATGAGCAGAGCTTGTGCTATGGATACTAAACAACTAATACAAAGTATAAAAATTTACAATAAGATACCAAAGGATATACTGGAATTACCCTTAAATAAATTCAAAACAACTGTTAAATCATATTTACTGAGCAAAGCCTATTACTCACTAAACGATTACTTGAATGACGAGTGTGCATGGCAATAGTTGTTCATGCATGGGATTTTCATTTAATGTTACACATAGACACCTATATAAATATACATTGTAAATAAACTGGCTTTAAAAAAAAAAAAGTAATTCAATTTAGTCTTGCCAGTTCTTCTCAATTGGATCTATATACTGCACTGGACGGTAGAGAAAAAGTATAATATAAAAAATTTGTTGAATGAGTGCCAAAAATGTCTAACATGTCCTGTGAATATTTTTGATTTTTTAATTTGTATACAAAAATCATACTCATGACTACAAATTTTTGCATAATCTGAGTAATGAAACCCATGCCTATCGGAAGTAAGTCAATGTGCTAAACATTAGTAGTAAGTCATTAGTGAGTAAATACTTAAAAATATCTCAGGTGCTGCTGAATTTGGCGCGGGTGCTGTTCACACTACAGTACCTTGATGATGCCATCTACCTAACACGACGTTCACTGGAAGTGCAACCGCCCGATCGCAGCGCGTGGCAGCAATATTTCACACTTGGAGAAATATTAAAGGCATATGGACATTATCAGGTGTGATATTAAGGTCTTTAACAATCACAGCTATATTGTATTTATTATAATTATTATTACTATATTTTATCATTCGCCCGAAAATCAATCAAATATAATACATTCATATTCGTATTTATATATGCATACATATATAGTTAAAGAATGACTATATAAACAATATAAATAACTCACACACACATACATATACACAGACACTTACCCACATACCCATACTCCTAATCAAACACATGGACACTATAATTTTTATTCTTTTTTTGTTTTCCTCATTTTTCTTGTATAAGTACTTATTACTTTTTTTTTTTTTTCTCAGTACACTGTGTTAAATAAAAGTTCACTACAATCTAGTATGTCAAAAAGAATAGCGTCTCTTTTATACATTTTTTTTTGTATTCAAAAGTTTTAACTTTTTTTTTTTTATTCCTTTATGTACACAACTGCAGATGTACCAAAAAATGTTTACAGAATGTTGGAGGGAACTGGCTTTCGTGACACAGGTTTCACCTAAATCGAAAGCCAGGGCTAACTATATTTAATTGTACCGTGCATTTATGAATAAAGTTTATTATTATATTATTATTATTATTATATATAGACACTCTAGTGTATTAAAAATATGTTAGTTTATAACTTAAATATTACCTACTAAAATAATAACTTACCAAATTAAAAACTTTAACCTGAAATGTATTTATGTCTATTAAACATACACAAATACAATGTATTATCATGGCTGTATTTACAAAATATAAATAATATTCAGATAACTGCCTCTAAATATATGTATTTTTATGTTTACAGGAAGCTGCTGTACATCTGAGACACACTCTCGATTTGAGGCCAGATTTTGAACCAGCGCTGGCTGCTTTGAAGGATATAGAAAATATACCAGAAGCATCAGTTCACGTGTACACACTTCTAATAATTGTTTGCCTGGTAAGATTAATTTTCATAACATAATTATGTCACAATATCAAGCAGGAAATCTACAATCATATATGTCGTTTCAGGTGATGGGAGTACTCCTAGTAATACTGTCGTCAGTAGACAACGGTGGCGACGTAGAAGAACACAAAACCCAGCGTCACTTCAACCGGGCGATGGCTATGCGTTCGCTTCGTGGGGTCGCGCTCGCCGGCTCACGAGGTCGTAAGAAAGGGGGCTCCTAAACAAGACGTATCTCATGCGATTGGCCTGAGTTTGCTATCTCTAGTTGAGTATTCCTAGTCCATCAATGTATTCTTAGAGTTTTATTACGAACTAAGCTTTTCCTTAAATACTGTCATGAACTTTTATAACGGCGTGTTTGTGTACCAGCTCAATCTCAATATCTAATTACTTATTTTATCTATATATAATGAAAGAAAATTGCACTATGAACTGTATCTCCTATCATTACTACCGCTTCAGGGTCTTTTGAGAAAATTAAGTGTCTGCTTAACATTTCACAACTATTATTTTTCACAAATTCTACTAGGTATATTGTAGTAAAAAGTATTTTGCCGTTTAAAATTTGATAGGTTGTGATATCTTTTTGTGTTCAGAGATGACAAACTCAGGCATACAATTATGAAATTTAGATTTTCTCGCATTAAAAAAATTACGAGTGATATCAATAAAGATATTTATTTAAATAACATTGCTATTCATGCATGCAAAAAGGAAAACTGATACATTGTGACACTGTTCTGTTACATCCACTTTTACAAACTGATATTATATTACTGTGTTGATAAGTTAACAGAGTAAATTATAAAATACTGCAAGCTTTAAAATGTTTCACAGGATAATGTTTATTGGAATTTTTAAATTATAAATATCTTTATAAATATCTTTAATAACATTTGTCATACCCATCTCTATATTTCTGTCGCAATTTGATAAAAAATCATCGTCAACATTTTAAAACAAAGTACGCAAAGATAAAACAATCTATAAAGCAGACTATTTGCAGGGTGAACAGTTCTCTCTGCAAATGCTGCTGTTTGTTATGTAGTCTCAATTACTTACCAGTTTCGCATAACTCTGTTAGCTTATCAATATTCGCTGTGTTGTGAATTATAACCTGATGCTTTGGCAAAATATTCATCGTTGGTTAGTGCTTGTGTTTATTATATTTATTTCATGGATGTCACGGAACAGTATTATCAATCGGAGGCTAAAATGTACAAAATTTAACTTTATGTAAAAGTGACCAATGCGGTCTTGCCATGTTCATTTTGATCTCTGCTTTGTAGTCTTTGTCACCTCATAGGCGTTACCTAATGTGGTGTTATGTTAGCTGTCTGGAAGAATTATACTAGGTAAATGGACTGGAAAGTTTGTAATGGTGGGGTTATTGAAACAGTTTAAATAAGATTCGCTGCTGTTATTTCAGATGTGGTAGTTATATATATGTAAACTGATGACGTCTTATTAAACAGTTATTTACAAAAGTTGACATGCCGACTTTCGTTTATTAGAATTCAATGTGACAGATGATGAGCCTACCGCAGTCTCTCTAATAAATTTGGTTTGTTATCGCTGTTTTCACCAATTGTAAGAAACCATTATTAAAAGTCTGTAGTCATTAATTAACAACCACGGCCGTCTTTACATACTGGAAATCATTACAGCACCTTATAGCTAATATGGCTAAGATTCATAATTTACAAAAGCAATTATAAAAAAAAACTTACATTTAAGTAAGTTACATTCAATAGCCACTGTTTCATTCGGGTGGGTCCACATACCACTATTTCATTGAATTTTACAATTGATCTACAATAATAAATGTTCCGTTCTAGTTTTAATATATTTGTAAGATAAGATTATTCTCATTTTAACAGAAAATGCTTTACGTAAGCAATAATAGTTAAAAAAATATACTATTTGTAACTAGTTCATAGTATTAAAGAATGAGAAAGCTCGAATTTTTAACAAATAAAAGTGTGGGTAACGTCATGTAATTGAAAACTGCTAAATACACAAGACCTGCAATGTTCAGGAGTACAATCGGTTGTGGCATCTTTGCCAGCCTCGCAATGGGAGTATCACTTTTGCAACCTAGTCATTCACTTAGACAAGTTTGGTCCGCGCAATGCGGGGCCCGGTGTGTAAATCGTAAAGTAGTGCATGCAAAGTAAACTTGTTAAGTGTTCGTAGTATCTAAGGATTTAAAAGGAGAGTCTTAAATTCTGAGATTGGTAAACATGTACCTGTTTTCAGTGGTTCTTTTGTTAATTTTTGACTATTTATAACTTAATACATGATTGTCTTAGCATCTATTTCTTGTGTATTCTTTTACCTAATTTCTTGAAATATATCTTATTATTATTAATTATAGCGAAAGTTTGTGAGTATGGATGGATGTTTGTTACTCTTTCACACAGAAACTATTGAACGGACTTCGTGGATTATATGTACATCAGAATCAGAAACAGAACCGCGGGCACAGCTAGTATATCATAATAATGAGAACTGATGAACTGTACAATGGTTGGCGTCACATCACAATTGCATGTCTATGGCATGAAAGATATTTTGTCAGTGTCCCATAAATATAAGGGGACTTAGTCGTCCGGTGAAGTTGTAAAGGCCGGCTGCGGCCAACAGTATTAGAGTAGTCCGAAAAAAATAAAACTACTTGAGCCTTTCCAAGTACCATCTGTCTAATTACAAGTAATTTATTTATATGAAACAAGGAATCAATAAAATCCAGTTTAAAAAAATTATATGTATTATTTGTAAAATGTATACATGTAATTGAAAAAATCTGCCATTACTATGCCTATAGTAATTTTAGTACATTCAAGCTCAAAGAAATGCCAAATAGTAGTCTCGGGACATACAATTGTAAGGTCAATAGGTAAAGGTAGGTACTATAGAATGAAATGCAATGGCTGTTAAAAAAAATGAGATCTATACCTATCCACCCTACAATAGTAGTGCCCAAACCACAATTATTTTACAATAATTAGAAACAAATAGGCAATCCATCCTGTGTTATTTACTTATACCTAGATAACCAAAACAAGATTTATATAGCATGTGGTTCATACAAGTACTTCTGTATGACCTTGTTCGTTAATAATATTTATGATTGTAATTTGAGAGTTAAGCTACATCATGAATGCCGAGGCGGAATATGTCATGCTGGACAAAGAAGGACTCTCCAAGTGGCTTCAGTACAAAGGTCTGCATGTATGGATGTGGGGGATCATCGTCGCACTGCAACAGAAACAATATTGTAAATTTAATACAACTTAGGTGATAAATGTGTAAAGAAGTGAGTATCAGTTTTATTGGTATAAATTCACCCTTTAAGCATAAAAGACCAAGTAACATTTAAAGTATCTATATTAATGGTATTGATTAGTCAGTAAAGATTTTTTTTATTTTAATGTAATATAATAATAATCTATATACTATTCTTTACTAAATAATTCTTCAACTGATTATTAAATAATTGTCATTATACATAGAACATGCGAAGGCTGGAAAGATTTCCTAATAAAGAAATATTAGAATAGGAAAAAAGGAGATAAGCAACTGGGATTCTTATATTCGACTAACAATATTATCACATAAACATATTCTTAAATTATGGTCGCACAAGATTTTTAGTTTCGTTATATCGAAACTAAAAATCTTCTGTCTCAAAAAAATTTAGTGGTTGGGTGGTTTAAAAAAATACACACATATCACTAATGAGAACATTAAACAAATTCATCTCATTCCATTCAGGAAACTACTCTTATCTGCCTTCACACGACACGTTCTTTCATTCGCAATCAGGAGCGTATTATCCTGAATGATTGCATTTTACTATTTTTTTGAGTCCACTTTTTCACACAACGTCAATGACATACATGATCTTTAAAATAAAAATCACTATATTTATTTTCCAAAAATACGAATAACCTATACAGCAAAGACATGATTATTAAGGATTTATAAATTATCAATAACTATCTTTATTCTATAGTCAGATGCCATTTTGCTAAGATAATTATTATGAAAAGACACTAAAGCATGTACAATTGAAGAATGTGTGAACACGTGAACTAGCAGTGAGCGCAGTCTTTCTCATTCTCTTTTTCTACATTTACATGCACATTCCTTCCTGCGTGAAAGGTAATTCGCGCGTGAAAGAGCGTGCGTATAAAACAGCTAATAATAAAATTATGTGTTATCAGATTTATTATAAAGATGTCTAATTTACATTATAAGATATAATAGTAGTGCTATCGTAATGTTATTGTGTATTAAAATATAAGAAAAAGTGATGATAATTTATGTTGTAGGAACATCATTATTATTAACAAAAAATTAAATATTGTTGCATCATACTATTTTTGCTTTAACAATGAATCACTCTAAAAGCAAGCAATTAGACATTTTTATATCTTTTAATTTAAATTTAATATTTATGTCTTTTAATTGTTAATTAAATTCTTTAAAACATAAGTTACTGGTTAGCCACATTAGAGTCACAATGAAGACATAAATTACAATGCTAAAGTATAACACTAGTCTATGCTCTCTTACTTTCACTATGATGAACATAAATATGTTTAAACATCATGAAGTGCCAGTCGGAATATATCATGTTCTACATAAAATGAAGTTCCTATTGGCTTCAGCACAAATGTTTGAAGATAAGCATGTGGCTGATCATCATCTGTCTGTTACAAATGTAACAATAAAATTATTTTATACCATTAATAACATATAGATATAATGATAATGAGGTTTATAATGCCATACTAAACATACCTGCAACCTCCCGAGGACATTAATTAAAACTCCACCATCGAACATGGGTTGTGAATCCACAGATGTTATTAATCTACCAATTTTTTGAAAGGACAAACCCTGAAAATTAATTATGTTGTGCTGCATATACATTTTCCAGTGCAATAAAATTTCTCCAAATAGATACATAAAGCAAACAACAGATAATGAATTTTAACAAAATAACACAAACAATGGAATAAACAGAAGAACAGTAGCTGAAATGTTATAGAAATGTAAATAAACTACACTGTGACAAACATTCCATGGGAGGATTTATCTCTATCAGATTTGCGATAGTCAATGTATGTGTTCAAATGTCCACTATACACCTTGTGGCATTAACATACATAAACACTTGTATCTGTATCTAAATACAAACATAATAAGAATTTCAATTTAAAGCATGTTTTGTTATAAAACTGTATTTTTTTAAATGGATACTTACATTTAATTTTTCCATAATTTTTGCAGCACCTTGTATTTGAACACCTTCAAAGGTCATAAAAGAAGTTTCAACCTAAAATAAAACTACAAATATTAAATATACACTTACTTCGTAGATAACCTGATATTATTTAATGTCATGACTCAATTTTGTTTTGGGTGACCCTGGTCAAATATCAGTTCCAAGTACCAGTACCGTATATTTTAAGCACTCAAGTAGACAACACAATTAGTGTCTACTCAATGCAATCATCGTAAATATTGTATAAAGTAAAGTAATTTACTAATGTAGGAATTGTTTAAGACTTTTCGTATACTGAAACATATTGCAAAATTTGATATTTTTTCGGCGGGAGGTTAAAGTTAACCTACAAAAATATATTGAAGTCGATAAGAATTACGAATTTCAAGGAATATAGTACGGTGATACGAATGGCATTAAACAATCTGATATAATTAAAATAACTCACGTTGTACATATTTGCCAGATTTGGTCGTTGTGCCGGATCATCGAACAATGTGTAATATTGCTGTACGAATCCTTTACCGATAGCATCGTACTGTGGATTAAGCGCCATTTAGACGTGTTTAATGTCCAACTAATTTTAAAACGACCAGAAATCCCAATTTATTACAAAATTCAGGTATAAAATACCCAAATACATGACAAGAAAAGAAATGGTAAGCGGTTGAAAATGTAGCCATTTAAAAAATATCAAATATTCCCAACATTGTATAAAAAAACTCATTAATTACAGCTAAAATTATAAACTATAGATAGATAGATAGTACTTTATTAGCTTAAAAGGATTATAGCCCAAGAGCCCACGACTGCCAGACATACGTCATTTTAATAAACGTGAAAGTTCTTGTATGTGTGTCCCCAACACAGGTAAGAACGATCCCCAAATATGAAACCTGGATCGTGGTTCCTTTGGCAGGTACCAGGTAACAAAGGTGTAAAAAAAATCATATCAAATTCGTTATTTTAAGAAACTCCATATTTTCATATATTGTTCATAGCATTATTATAACTTGCGCTGCTCATTGCCAGACACTTAGTGTGGTTCCAACCCCCCGCCGGACCCCCCTAAACTATACTATTTTAGAAATAAACTTACGTCATTTTAATAAAGCTGAAATTTATATATATTATTGAGAGTTCTCTCAAACTGAGTTTCCTAAATTGCCAGACAGTTTTCTTGGTTCCTTATCCTACCAGATTCATTGAAACCGTATATTGGGTAACAACGGTGTATACAATTTCATATCAAATTCGTTATTTTAAGATGCTCCATTTTTTCACATATTGCTCGTAACAGTATTATAACTTGCTCTGCTCGTTGCCAGACCCTTAGTGTGGTTCCAACCCCCCTCCGAACCCCCCTAAACTATACTTTTTAGAAATAAACTTACGTCATTTTAATAAAGCTTAACTTTATATATTTTATTGAGAGATCTTTTAAACTGAGTTTCCTAAATTGCCAGACAGTTTTCTTGGTTCCTTATCATACCAGACTCATTTAAACCGTATATTGGGTAACAACGGTGTATACAATTCATATCAAATTCGTTATTTTAAGATGCTCCATTTTTTCACATATTTCCCGTAACAGTATTATAACTTGCTCTGCTCGTTGCCAGATCCTTAGTGTGGTTCCAACCCCCCGCCGGACCCCCCTAAACTATACTATTTTAGAAATAAACTTACGTCATTTTAATAAAGCTGAAATTTATATATATTATTGAGAGTTCTCTCAAACTGAGTTTCCTAAATTGCCAGACAGTTTTCTTGGTTCCTTATAATACCAGACTCATTGAAACCATATATTGGGTAACAACGGTGTATACAATTTCATATCAAATTCGTTATTTTAAGATGCTCCATTTTTTCACATATTGCTCGTAACAGTATTATAACTTGCTCTGCTCGTTGCCAGACCCTTAGTGTGGTTCCAACCCCCCGCGGGACCCCCCCAAACTCTCAATAATATATATAAATTTCAGCTTTATTAAAATAACGTAAATTTATTTATAAAATAGTATAGTTTAGGGCGTCCGGCGGGGGGTTGGAACCACACTAAGGGTCTGGCAACGAGCAGAGCAAGTTATAATACTGTTACGAGCAATATGTGAAAAAATGGAGCATCTTAAAATAACGAATATGATATGAAATTGTATACACCGTTGTTACCCAATATACGGTTTCAATGAGTCTGGTAGGATAAGGAACCAAGAAAACTGTCTGGCAATTTAGGAAACTCAGTTTGAGAGAACTCTCAATAATATATATAAATTTCAGCTTTATTAAAATGACGTAAGTTTATTTATAAAATAGTATAGTTTAGGGGGGTCCGGCGGGGGATTGGAACCACACTAAGGGTCTGGCAACGAGCAGAGCAAGTTATAATAATGATACGAACAATATATGAAAAAATGAAGCATCTTAAAATAACGAATTTGATATGAAATTGTATACACCGTTGTTACCCAATATACGGTTTCAATGAGTCTGGTAGGATAAGGAACCAAGAAAACTGTCTGGCAATTTAGGAAACTCAGTTTGAGAAAACTCTCAATAATGTATATAAATTTCAGCTTTATTAAAATGACGTAAGGTTATTTATAAAATAGTATAGTTTAGGGGGTCCGGCGGGGGTTGGAACCACACTAAGGGTCTGGCAACGAGCAGAGCAAGTTATAATACTGTTACGAGCAATATGTGAAAAAATGGAGCATCTTAAAATAACGAATTTGATATGAAATTGTATACACCGTTGTTACCCAATATACGGTTTCAATGAGTCTGGTAGGATAAGGAACCAAGAAAACTGTCTGGCAATTTAGGAAACTCAGTTTGAGAGAACTCTCAATAATATATATAAATTTCAGCTTTATTAAAATGACGTAAGTTTATTTCTAAAATAGTATAGTTTAGGGGGGTCCGGCGGGGGTTGGAACCACACTAAGGGTCTGGCAATGAGCAGAGCAAGTTATAATACTGTTACGAGCAATATGTGAAAAAATGGAGCATCTTAAAATAACGAATTTGATATGAAATTGTATACACCGTTGTTACCCAATATACGGTTTTAATGAGTCTGGTAGGATAAGGAACCAAGAAAACTATCTGGCAATTTAGGAAACTCAGTTTGAGAGAACTCTCAATAATATATATATAAATTTCAGCTTTATTAAAATGACGTAAGTTTATTTATAAAATAGTATAGTTTAGGGGGGTCCGGCGGGGGGTTGGAACCACACTACGTGTCTGGCAATGAGCAGCGCAAGTTATAATAATGCTACGAACAACATATGAAAATATGGAGTTTCTTAAAATAACGAATTTGATATGAATTTTTTTACACCTTTGTTACCTGGTACCTGCCAAAGGAACCACGATCCAGGTTTCATGTTTGGGGATCGTTCTTACCTATGTTGGGGACACACATACAAGAACTTTCACGTTTACTAAAATGACGTATGTCTGGCAGTCGTGGGCTCTTGCTCTATTATATTTAAGACTGCTCAATAAGCCATTACTATACCACAGTTACAAACATTTGGACATTTTAGTGAACATGATTACTCAAGACACGTTGCATTATAACTATTTCGTATGTTACAGTTATAAATAGAGTAACATTTATTAACTAATTATATATATAATTAAATTAAAATTAAAAGATTAAATTTTTGCTTGTCTTGGGTTGCCATTAACTATTTTCTATATTAATTTCAAATTGTGTTTCAAACGTTGCTTAGCTAATAAATGCTATGAAGATATAATTACTCTGTGCTGTGAAAGCAGCATAGAGTAATTACATTGGGATTTACAAAATTCTGACAGATTGACATTGATTTGTTTTCAAATGCTCAATTTCAATGAAATTCTTTATCTGTGTGTCAAGGTGGAATACTTAGTCCATTACTCTTTATCCTCTACATACACAAACTTAATTTAATTTTAGGACCACATGTCAGGAATCTTCAATTTGCAGATGACCTTGTTATATACTTTTCAGGCCCAGACATTAATAAAGTAACAGAAAAAATAAGTAACTCATTGTTAAGATTAAGAGATTACTTTAAATACCTCAATTTAGATGTAAGCCCTGACAAATCTAAAGTAGTAATATTTTCTAAAACTAATAAATCCTACAAAAACATTAAAATATTATATAATAATTCACAACTACCTATTACTGCTGAAGTTAGATTTTTAGGTGTTATTTTTTGTAGCAATTTGTCTTGGAACAAATATGTTGATTATTTACTAGGTAAAGCTTCCAAAGCATTTAATATTATCAAAGCTCTATATAAATGTGATCCTAAGATCCTTTTAATGCTGTACAAATCCTTGGTTCGCAGCCACTTTGAATATGGCTATCTATGTTTTGGTTCTGACCAAAACAAGCTTCATAAACTTGAAGTACTTCAGAATAATAATTTAAGATACATAACTGGTGCAATGAAAACAACCCCTATAAATTCCTTACAAGTAGAGTGCTGTATACCACCATTAAACCTGAGATTCTGGTACTTAAAACAAAGATTCATCCTAAAATTATTATCCTTTTCTGATTACAAAAGCTCAAACATATTACTTCTTTATTTCCCCTTTCTAATTCTAAAACAGTTCCCTATATACTTCATGATTTCTCTGACTCAATCAATATTGATCAGCAGTACAAAATTCACAAAAGCAATAGATTTTGGAATTGTTACCATGGACCATTTGAAAGTAAATTTCCAAATATTAATATTGTAATTGACTCTGAGTTAAGGACCAAACAAGAAGTTTATAACAAGTTGTCTACATTTTCAACTCATCAATCCATATTTACAGACGGTTCTAAAAACGAATCGAGAACATCCTTTGCTCTATACTTACCAAGTATCAGAACCGGTCATGGAACTAGAATACATAAAGAATTTAGTATTTTTTCAGCAGAATCTTTGGCTATTTTAAATGCACTTTGTTATATAAAAGATGATAGGGGCAATTGCAAAAAATGGTTAATTGTCACAGACAGTATGAGCGTTTTAACTGCTCTTCAAAGTAACAAACTACATTATAAAACCAATTATATCATAGATAGCATTAAGCAATTATTACATGAGCTTTCATTGGAGTGTTATGATATTATTTATTATGGACACCATTACACATTGGTGTTTTTGGCAATGAAAACGCAGATTTCCTGGCAAGAACTATCACCAACAATGACATTGGCGTTGTCAAGGATGTTGCCATACCTTATTCCGACATTCTTTCTATAGTTTACAAGAGTTTTCGTCAAAAATGGGTTGAACAGTGGCAACTTTCGCTAAAGACCAAGGGTAATTGGTTTTACTCCATTAACAAAAATATTCATTCCTCACCCTGGTTCACTAAATCTAGAGTTTATAAAAATCGGAAATTTTACACACTCCTTATACGACTTCGTTTTGGTCACGCTAGATTCAATAGTCATTTGTGCCGAATGAAAATAATTGATTCAAATGCACGTCAAGAGTGCAATAACAGCAGTCAGACCCTAAATCACATATTTTTCGAATGTTCCGCTTATAATATTCAACGCTTGGTCTTTATTGATAATTTACTGAACATTTACAAGAAACCGGAAAAAATCCCGCGCGACATCCAAGACATGCTAACTAATTTTGAAACATATATACCTATATATTTATACGTTACCTCGATATCGATAAAACTTTAAATAATTGATACAAGGATATGGACTACGGATAAGACTTAAATTTTGAACACGAATGAAGACATAATAAATAAACATACATAAGAATTGGCCTTTGGCCTCATCACTTGTTCAAATATGAAGAAGTTTAAAAGTAGACTAGGCTGTACGGTCTAAGGATCTTTGCCTGTTCCATCACTGAAAAGGAGATGGACGAATATGGGAAAAAAAAAAAAAAAAAGAAATTCTTTATCTTCTCCTTCCTATGCTATCCTATGTACATATATTGTTAAACTTTTATTTAAAAATATAGTATTTTCTATTCTGACTCACTGACTCTTGTAATTGTTTTGTTTAGACTTGCTTCTTGATTTGTTATAACAACAGTAATATAGTTTCCAACAATGTCTCTAGCGGATGAATTATTAGCAGATTTAGAAGAAAACGATGATGTAGATCTTGAAGCTGCAATTGAAAACCAAACGCAAGGAGAAGCATCTCATGAATTTGCTGTACCATATCCTGTAATACCTAAGGAAGAGGAAATAAAAAATGTTTCTATCAGAGAATTGGCTAAATTGCGGGATTCAGATCGATTAAAACGAGTGAGTACATATGTTAGATACAAGATGTATATTTTATACTAACAACTCGCCCCAGCTTTATATATATATAAACCTGTTGTGTTGACAGAAATATTACAAGTATAGGCGCAATACAAATAACTTTTTTAAAATTATTTTGAAACATTATGTATTAAATGGTCTTGTAATGTAATGTAATGTAATGTAGGTTGGACTCCATTTTCCGCAATTGGCCTCTCATTCGGGCCGTTGTGCGTGTAGAGCCAGGCTACTAGCGTAGCCAGCCAAGCTCCTCCCAGAAGCGCAGAAGTCTCCTGGTGTCTTCGCAGGCTTCTCGGAGCGACCTCACCGTTCCGAGGATTTGATTTCGTTGTGTGGTCACTGCTTCGCACTCCAGGATTACGTGAGCGGCCGTTTCCTCGGCTACAAAGCAGCCCCGGCATAGGGGACTGTCTGTAGCACCTATTGTGTACAAATGTCTGTTTAAGGGACAGTGGCCCGTCATTGTCCCTATCATTGTTTTTATGTTATGCCTGTCCAGATTTATTAGGCGTTTTGTCATTCGTTGATTTGTTCTGGGAATTGCCACTTTTGATTGTTTACAATCGGTGGTTTGTTTCCATCTTTGGTTTTGTATCTCAGTTTATCTTTGGCGAATCCAGGATCGAAATTGTGAGAATGGTATTGGCAGAAGCGGGAGGGGGCCTGCTACCGTCATGCCTGATCCTCTTCTCGCCAATTCGTCCGCGGCATCATTTCCATATGATCCACTATGCCCTTTTATCCACTGGATGGTTACACCGTTGTGCTCTGCCACTTTATCCATGATATTGTGACATTCGATTATTAATCTGTTGTTTGATTTCCTGTTCTGTAGTGCTTTTAGCACGGCTGCACTGTCCGATATAAATTTTAAGTTGAAGTTGTTGACACCTAACTTTAGCACTGTTCGTGCTGCCTCAGTCAGGGCAACGCATTCACATTGGAAAATCGAACTGTGTGGGCCGAGTGGTATGTATAAGTTCATGTTGAGGTCAAGGGAGTGGGCTCCTGCTCCTGAACCGTTATGTGTTTTGGAGCCATCTGTGTATATGCGTAGTTCATTTACAGCAGATTGGTCTTGTTCCTCCTGATTCATTTGTATTTGGTATTTTCTGTTAAATGAGTGATAAGTTTGAGTTCTGTCACACGGAGCTGCAATCAAAGGTTCGTGTTCGATTGCTTGGTTCAGGATGTGAGTGTGAGAACTATTATGGTTTTTGCCCCATAGACCAAGATGGTATAGTCTTATGGCAGCTATGGCTGCCTCCTGTTGTATGTACAAATCGAGGGGTGTTATATTGAGGGCTATTTCAATTGCTGTTGTTGGGGTAGTTTTCATACATCCCGTGATTGAAGAGCATGCAAGTCTTTGAAAGGACCTTAGTTTGTTGACTGTGGTCGTGAGTTTCGACCTTGTCCACCAAACCAAGGCCCCGTACACGAGCATTGGTCTTATCACAGCTGTGTTTAGCCAGAGTGTTATTTTTGGTGTAATACCCCACTTGTTTCCTAGCATCTTTCGACATTGATAAAATGCTATGGTACTTTTGTTAATTTTGTGGTCAAGATGTTTGTTCCATAGGAGCTTACTGTCCAGTATAACTCCCAGGTACTTGACTTCTTCTTTTAGATTAAGGTCTGTGTTAAAGAGTTTCGGTGTCCTGAAGGTACCAGGAGCTCTTTTGTTAGTAAACATGATTAGTTCTGTTTTGGAAGGATTTACCGAGAGTTCGTGGTTTTTACACCATCTCTCTACAGTTCTGAAGGCTTCTCTCATGCGGTCGCATAGAGTTCCCTCAAAGTTTCCTGTTATAAGTATAGCAATATCGTCAGCATACCCTACCGTGTAGAGGTCGTTGTCGTTGAGCTCCTCAATGAGTTCGTTAACAACTAGGTTCCAAAGAAGAGGTGATAGGACCCCTCCTTGTGGACATCCTCTGCTCACGATACCTCGTGTGGTAGTGTTTACGGTAAACTGAATTGCACGGTTCTTTAGCATGTTGCTTATCCATTCTATGATAGTTAGAGGTACTCCATGTATGGCGAGAGCCCGGCTTATGCTGGTAAAATTTGTTTTATCAAAGGCCCCTTCGATGTCTATAAAGGCACCTAGTGTTGGCTGCTTTGAGTGTAACGAGTTACCAATTCGGGTTACTACGCTGTGGAGTGCTGATTCCGTTGATTTACCTTCGCTGTAGGCATGTTGGTTAGGGTGGAGTGGTTTGTTTGTGGACACAAGGTCTCTGATTTCTTTGTCGCATAGTCTCTCCAAAGTTTTTAGTAAAAACGATGTGAGACTAATTGGTCGAAAGGATTTGGCCTGTGTATAATCACCTCTGCCTGGTTTTGGGATGAAGATTATTTTCACTTCGCGCCATTTCAAAGGTATGTATCGGTGTGCCAGACATGCTCGAAATAGCTGAACGAGTTGTTCGGCTATTATGTCTCCGCTCCATCTTAGGAGGGCCGGAAAGACACCATCTAGTCCCGCTGCTTTGAAAGGCAGGAATGTGTTGATTGCCCATATTAGTTTTTCTTTGTCTATTATTTTGCTAGCTACCTCCCAGTCCGAGCTGCTGGTTGTCCTGTCTTCCTGTGAATTCCATGAGTGGTTATTGTCCACTAGAAATCCTGGGAAGTGAGTTGACAGTAGTATTTCGCAAGTTTCTGTGTCATTTGTTGTGTAGCTGTTATCCGGTTTTTTTAGACAGCCTATTGTGTGGTCTTTCTCCTTGAGAGACACGCTTTTACCTTGACTGCTTGGTTGTTGTTTTTTATATTTGTGCAGAATCGCCTCCAACATTCCTGTCGTCGTTGGCGAATTAGTTTTTTATATTTTTTTCTCGAAGTAGTGTATTTGTCCCAATCACTTTGTGACCTACTATTCATAGCTACGTTGAAAGTTTTCCTTAACTTCCGGCGGTGTCTCTCTAGTTCGAGACACCACCAGTGTTGCCTACCTCTGATTTTGGGTACGGTGAGAGGGCAAGACTGTTCGTAGCACGTGGTTAGTATGGACGTTATGTTGTCTGCGTGGTTGTCTATTTCCGTTTTGTCTAGTTTTATTGAGAGTACGGATTGTTTTGCTACGTACGTTTTGACCAATCCCAGGAATTTGAATTTGTCAGTGTTACGAGGAATCCGTCTCGGCTGTGGTTTAGGTAACTGCATGTCGATTGTAAAGCGGATCCATCTATGATCAGAGCATGATAGTTCGTTGGACACGTGCCAGTCACGAACATGCTCCGAGATGCCTGTCGATGTCAGTGTTATGTCTATGATGGTTTGTGAACGAGCGTTTATGAATGTAGGTTCGGAACCTTTATTGAGCAGTGTGAGGTTATTGCTAAAGATAAAAAGAGCTAAGTCCTCACCTCTGTTGTTGGTCTTACTGTTTCCCCATAGCGTGTGGTGCGCGTTGGAGTCAGCGGCGACGACCAGTTCCAGCTTCTCCCTCTCGCAGTACTCGACCAGCTGGCTGAGTTCTGGTGGTGGCACCTCCCCGTCGCTCGGCAGGTATGCTGAGGCGAGGACGATGTCCGGGAGATTTTGTTCTACACTGGTTATTCTGACTGTTGTTAGATCCCTTGAACAGAATTCGGTTATTAATAATGTTGGAACATGTTTTGGTAGGAAAATACAGGTCCTAGGTTTACTTACGGAGGTATCCAGTAGCAGTTTTCCTGCGATGTTGCCGAGACCACAGATTTTGTTGTTCCTGATCCACGGCTCTTGGATCAGGGCTATGGTCTTGGTGTTATTTTCCAGCACTCTGCGTAGTGAGGCCGTCGCAGTTTGGCTGTGCTGGAGGTTTCCCTGCAGGAGTTTAGTCTTCCCGTAGGGGGGAGGAGTAGAGGATGCTGTCACTGGCCTCGCTCTCTCCTCCCCCCGCCGGAAAGCACTCTTCATCCGAGATAATTCCCGGTGAAGATGGTTCCTGCACCTCCATTGCCGTCGGAGCCTCTACGTCCTCCGCCGCAGTCACGACATCCATTGCCGACGTTGTCGGCTCGGGTTCCGCCACCTGCTCGCCGAGGCTTGTGGCCTCCGTCTGTTTCGAGGAGGCTGCAGGTGTTTGATGGGAAACATCTGTGTCCAGGAAGCGAACATAGATGTTCCCCATCAGGTAGTAGACTCTTCTGTCCTGGGCCTTCAGCACTTCTACATCCTTTTCAGGAATACGAAAGAATAGGCAGGTTCCTGGTGGATCTGCTCTGATTCTTTCGTGTGTCAGGGTCCAGGAGTTGATGCTCATGTTGCTGTTTTGCCCCGCGAGAAGTTCACGTAGCTCTGCCAAGTCCTCGATTTCTCCAGGTACAAAGAGCAGGCACGGCACCTTCTTCGGTATGGCCGACTGTGGTCTAACGACTAGCCTCGAGCCTTCTACTGGTGAGACCATGTCTGTGATGCTTTTCTCAAGCCAGGCTAGGGTGTAGGCATCCTCACACCATGTTTTGAGGACACCATCTGCGAAGTGAGCCTTGCCACGGAATTTGAGGTCTTTTCTTGTTGCTGCAGGGATCTTGAGGTCGGCTTTGACTTGGAGTCTAAGCTTCCCTTCAATCTGCCTTCTGAGATCCTCCGCTTGGTCTTGTATGAGGTCGGTAAATGGTTCTACCATGACTGCAACGCACAGTTCGTTTGCCAGGAAGCTGGCAGCTGCTTCAGCGTATGACGTCGGTCCCCTACCCATCGCTCCTGCGGTTCTGGGTTTTTTGCCCTCCCCTTTGGGTGTGACCGTGTCCTCCGGACGAGTGCGTTTCTGCGGTCTTGGTGCGGTCTTGTCGTCGTATGTCCTGGTCTTTTTCCGGCCTCTGGGCTTCATACTGCGTTTATGAAGGCCAACCGTCAGTGCAGCACTTGTCGAGGCAGTTGCAGGTGCTTTGGTCCCACTTGTTGACGCCTCCCCTTTCGGTTTGGTCGCCTTTGGGCAGGTACCGAGCTGATGCCTTACGGCATCCACTGCTACTGCGCGTTGTGCTGCTGCTTTGGCTCTGGCCTTCATGCGCCGCTTTTTTGAGGCCGACTTGGGTTTGGTGACGGTCTTCCATTGACCCGGTTTCGTGGGTGATTGGATTGCGTCTTTTAATGACGACAGATCCAATGCCGGGGTGTCAGAATCGTTGTCGGATGCAGCTTTGTTTGACCTCTCTTTCGCCTCCGCCTTCATCAGTGCTGCCGAGTTCCCCTCGGAAGACGCACTCACTGACGCAGCCCTGTTGGGCGCATCCCGGAGTGCGCTTGTCCTTGGTTCCCCCATAGCAGCGCCTGTCTTCGGCGGAGGGTTAAGAGTTGCCTTTGGAGGCGCATCTAAGGCCAACGCTGGAGGTACCTTACGGGACGCAGCCTGGGTTGGCGCATTCCGCTCAGTGCCCTTCCTCAACGTGTCCTCAGACACAGCCTTTTTCACCGCATCCTTTACCGACATGGATGGTGTGTCACGGGACGCAGCCTGAGTTGGCGCATTCCATTCGACAGCCCTCCTTGTCGGATCTTGTGACGCAGCTTTGCTCGGCGCATCCTTGGTTGCCTTGGATGGTACGTTTCTGGACGCAGCCTGGTCAGGCGCATCCCGATCGGTAGCCTTCCTCAACAAATCCTTGGACGCAGCTTTGCTTGGCGCATCTTTGTTTGTGGTTTGCCCTTGGGCGTCGAAGTACGCGGCCTTGGGCAGTGGTGGTCGTTTTGGCGCATGTTGGGACGCAGCCTTTTCTGGTTGTTGGTTTGGCGCAGTCGAGGACGCAGCCTGTGTCGGTTTTTTGTTTTTGAGTTTTTTAGTCTCAGTATCCATGAGTGGTTTTTTTCCTTAACTTCACCTTGGGAGCTCTCCACCCTCCACGGAGCCCTCACGTCGGGGACGTCATTCGTTCCAGCGAATGATCGTCAGAGCTACTCCCTTGGTATAGGTACAGCAGGTTGGAAAGTAGACGAGTCCGCACGCAGCGAAACACAACGAGGACACCTACATCACGAGACAATGATGCAGGCTAGCCCCGAGGCGCCGCGCCACGCCGACTGCCACCCCCCAGCCCACCGAACCTCGCTTGACTGCCCGCTTATGGGGAATCGCAGCCGATTGATCGTGGTTAGCTACTCCACGACCTCCCGTTTGAGAGGAAATCCAGACCAAAGAGGTGTGTTGTGAACAGTGTACAACAACAGCCGGCACACTGCTGCACTCAACCACCAGGACTCCTTCATCCCTCCGTACGGGTCTCCGCGCACGGCACAAACACGCGGGAGGTCATTACTGTCCACCTTCTATTTTTTGGTCGATGATGGACACGCAAGGACATGACCTCTCCATCCCTGCATTGGTCGCCCGGTAGTTTTTGTTACGTCTATTTCATAGGGAACTAGACCAATAACAGGGCGGCAACCTCGTGAAGGGTATCTACCGCACTTGCCTTAAGGATCTACACGACTTGCGCTCTCCCTTAAGACCTCACCCCTCTACCTCTCTGAAGGAGATGGTAGAGTAGGCCTGTGTTTATATCTCATCAGTCTTGAGATATTCCCACAAGCCCGCCCCTTAGTTTATTAGTTATTAAATGGTCTTATATAATATATTAATTAATAATTGAATTACTACTTTAGTAAATAAAGTTTGTCTCTCATATTGTAAGTTACAATATGAGAGACAATTTTTTTTTTACTGCAAGACTAATTATGAGTGTTATTATTATACAGAATTTTATTTAACACAATGTCTGTAACATTGTTTAAAATTTCTTTGTCTAACTAATATCATTGAAAAACTCATACCTTTGCTATACAATATATATAAAATATTATATTGCAGGTTATTACTGAAGTTGAACAAAATATAGGTAACAAGCGAAAGAAAATTGATGTCACTGGTTTAATGGAATCTGATCCAGAATATCAACTTATTGTAGAAGCGAACAACATTGCTGTTGAAATTGATGGAGAAGTAGGTATGTTGAATATTCAGGTCCAGTTTCATCTGGGAACTTATTACTTTGTATATTTCATATATATTTATTTAATTTATACTTTGTGTCATTCTGCAATTATGTACCATTCAAACTGAAAGAATTTCTCAAATTGTGTCAGAGATTCTTCACTTCACATACTGTCCTCATAATAAAACCCACTCTCTCCTCTGTTTATACTCTTAGTACGATCTGTACTCTAAATAAATCTGTATCATGAAGGTTGTTAACCATTATTTAATATATAAATGCACATGGATAGAACAAAATTGTAAACTCCTGATTAACACAATTTCACACTTATTATTGCAGTAAAGGGTTGTATTTATAAATAAAATTATTTATGTATTACCAGATATAAAAAATGTTTAAACTATTATCAAAAAATATTTATTCTGTTTATATGTATATGTAATTTCTATAAAATATTGGTCACCCAGTGGTTGAAATATTACCATAAACTCACTTAAATGTTAATTTCTAATGCTATAAAGATTCTGTAGTTAAAAGACTAAAAGTGTGTATATATATATATATATATACACTACAATACAAATATTATGTATCTATGCAGCTCCTCATATAAAATTTTACTGTGTATGTAATCACATAATTTTCATGCATAATAGCCAAAAAAGGGTTACAAAGTTATAGTTTCATATATTAATATTTAGATTTCAAACATATATCAAAAATATCATTTCAGCTATTATTCACAGATTTGTCCGTGATAAATACCAGAAACGGTTTCCAGAATTAGAGTCTCTCATTGTAACACCATTAGAGTACATTCGCAGTGTGAAAGAACTTGGTAATGATCTTGATCAGGCTAAAAACAATGAAACATTGCAGAGTTTTCTAACGCAGGCTACTATCATGATAGTGTCTGTTACAGCTTCAACTACACAAGGGTATGTATAATTTTAATATATTCTAAAACCGTCAATTGAAAATATTGGTTGTTGTTACTTTGTAAATATCTTTATAAGTGTGCTACTCCTCGTAAATATAAAATATTCATTTGGAAATTAGTGAAGGCTCATGCTCATTGAATGTATTCATAATTTTGACACCATAATAAAATGACATGGGTATTTATTAATATATTATTTATATTTAGTCTTATATTTTAGGAAACTTCTAACAGATAAAGAGTTGCAAGAAATATATGAGGCTTGTGACATGGCCACTGAGCTTACAAGTTTTAAGTCCCATATCTTTGAGTATGTTGAAAGTCGTATGACTTTTATTGCACCAAATATTACTGCAATAGTTGGTAAGTTAACTTTCTATTTATTAATAATCATAGACTGTTAGGTATTTACTTTCTGAAGACACAGATATTTATTTTGATACACATATTATCTACAGAAGCATTTTAATTATATTGTAATGAAGTTTCATGATTATTACATATGATCCTGTGACATACAGATGTACTGACTTATTAAGATAATTCTATTTTTGTATATTATTTTTAGGGGCATCCACAGCTGCCAAAATCCTTGGAGTGGCTGGAGGTCTGTCTAAGCTCTCAAAAATGCCAGCCTGCAATGTATTACCACTGGGTCAACAAAAGAAAACACTATCTGGATTTTCTCAAGCAGCAGCTTTACCACACACTGGTTTTATTTATTTCTCACAAATTGTTCAGGATACAACGCCGGTAAGAGTGATCAGAATTATTAAAACATGATAAATATTAATGCATGATGAGTGGAAGTCTGAAACATTATTTTGCTAAGCATATTTAAATTTAATAGGAAAAATAAGCTCAGCTGTTTACGCTGGCGGGGCCCCAGTGAAGAATGATAAGATGAATATGGTCAGGTCAATTAGCCCTTTGTGGTAAATTCACCACGAATTTATCACGATGGTTTCCAGGGGGGACCGTGTGGAAGTCAACCTAACCTAGTAATAGCTAGCAATGGGTTATTACTCCACATTAACTAACAAACCCCAATCATGTTAATTTTGTGTACCAAATTATTGATATTTAATAAAGCTTCTGCCCACCTTCTTTGTAATTATATGTTAAGGGACAATGAACATCTAATATAACATCACAATATAAGATTGTCATTCTAAAATATATTTATGTATTGACATAATTATAAATTACCCTACATGTTATTCTGTATTACTTGTAGGAATTAAGATTTAAAGCAGCCAAATTAGTTTCAACGAAGCTCACTTTGGCGGCGCGAGTTGACGCATCGCATTCCAGTATAGATGGCCACATCGGTCGTACTTTGAGGGAAGGAATAGAGAAAAAGCTTGATAAACTACAGGTACTACTTGCTGAATATTTATGTATTTAAAATAAAATGTAATTTTCTCAACTACTTTAATACGATATAACTAACTAATATACTGTTACAAGTTACCGTTGCAGGACATAATGCGGAAGCAATGTATGCAGTTGTTTAAGTCGTTTATGATGATTCATCTACGGAAAAGTTCATAGCTTTCTTCGTCTCAACGTTACTCATGAACTTTCACGATAATTAATTGTCAAAATATTTTTTCATTGCATCTCCGTTTCTATTGGTTGCGGGAAGTTATATGGCATAGTCTTTCTTGATAAATGGGCGCAGTAAAATAATTCTCATAAAATACCCCGAACTCCCAAACTTTACCTATTCATAATTCATATATGAATTTTTCTTACAGGAACCACCTCCAGTCAAATTCGTAAAGCCACTCCCAAAACCCATAGAGCAAAGTCGTAAGAAGAGAGGCGGTAAACGAGTACGCAAGATGAAGGAAAGATACGCAATGACAGAGTTCAGGAAGAACGCCAATCGACTCAACTTCGCAGACGTGAGTGTAACGTTCATATTATTTATTGTTATAACTTGTAATGCAATCGAAGTCTTTTAGAAATTATTATCTCATAAGGTATATAGATGAACATTCAAACTTTGTGTTAGTAATTAGGTTTTATGACAATCTACAAAGGAAATCATGGAACATGGAATTTGCATTTTCTATTGCAAGTTTACAGCCTACCTGATGGCAAGTCGTAACCGTCGCCTATATATATATGAACAACTGCATAACTGCAACTGAATATTACGTCATCATATCGTCATGCTTTCCGAACCACTCATGCATTGTACCATTCCGGAGTAGGAAGGTGCATGAAAGATAAAAATCCTGTAATTACACTGACTTATCTTCGAGATTTCCACCGACACACGTTTTCCAAGTTGCTCTGCTGCTTGTAGAGTTCATTCAAGCGAGTTTGTACAAAGTCTACCTTGGTATTACTTACCTTGGTATAGCCATTGTGGTTAGGTATGTTGGTGCGATAGTTTGGAAAAATTCGCACGATTTGTTTGAATGTAATGGAAAATTAAGGTATGATACTTACCACTAAACATTAATACCGCCACCAAAAAATTTTCTTTCAAGCGAAGATTGCGGGAATTTATCTCAACATGTAACTTTTATCTATATTCTTCATTTTACTTCAATGTTAATTATATATTTTTTGTATCTACCGCTGTTTTCTAATGTTTTCGCTATTTCATTGCCAGATTATTAGAGATGTTAGTATGGTATGCTTCTATCTTTATATATAAAATTTACGTGTCACGTTATTTGTCCGCGATAGACTCCTAAACTACTGAACGGATTGCATTGATTTGCATGTTTTGTGCAACTGCAAAGATAGTTTACTTCTCAATTTATAGTCGTAATATTATTTTATTGCAAATATTAATATTTAATATAACAAAAACCACAGCAACGCGTGGCTGGGTCTGCTAGTTGTATAAAGTAATAATAATAATAAGTAATGTAAATAATATTGAGGCATGACTCAACTGGCCTTTGAAACTGTCAAAGGTATGTAGGTACTTACTTTTAAGCGAAAAGTAGTAGCAACAGGTGTGTACATGGCCCTGGTTTGGTAATTAGCAAAACAGGGTTCAGAAATTCACTGTTTTTCTCGAGATGTTAATGATACAGGCAATATAAGCCGTAATGATATGACGGGCATTTTACTACCGGAGCTAGTGGATCTCGTAATTATTGTATATTACAGAGTTATTAGAAAGCATACTTTAGTTAGTAGTTCTAAGGTATTATAAATACGACTTTCCATTTTATTACGAATATAACATTTCTACCCATATAATGCATTCAGATATAAATATATCATCCATCATCCTTGTATTACAAACAAGCAGATCGGTAGTAAAAACTCGATTTTTTTTATACTGAGTACCGAAATCAGTTTTTTATATAAGGAACATTCAATGATTAGTCAAGCCATTAAAGCGCTAAGAGATAACAAACAAAGAAACTCACTTTCACACTTTATAATATTAGTTACCGATTTTGGTGACACATTTTTTGCAATGTTTTTTCGTTAACCTATATCGTAATTACATTCGTTGTTGTAACTAGGTATGAAGTACCTACTGTAATATAGCATCCAATTATAGTAATGAATTTACTATGTTGATCGGTTTACTTCACACAACTCTTACTAGGTACTCATAAATAATGTAATATGCTGAAGCTACTAAGCTACTCATAAAGTTCTGCCGTGGAGTAATACTACGTTTTTAGTTAGAAGGTAAAGTTCAATAATTTTTATATTGACGTCAATAATATTTTCGTTTTTTATTGACGATAATGGCTCTCAGGATACCAGCTCTTGGATACCATCCCAAAAACTTTCCTATTTTATAGGAAAGTTTTTGGGATGGTTAAGAATTGCTGGCAACTGGGCTAATAATTTCCATAAGTAACAATCCTCCCCGTTATTCCTATCAATTATTTCTATTACCAAATAGTATTCTTAAAAAAACTCATCCGGTTAGCTTACCGTGGATGACAAATGACTAAAGTTCTATAATCAAATGTCTATAGTATTTTCATTTATAGGTAACGGCACGTATGAACGATTGTTGAGTAGTCGTATATCGTCGTAAACTACTATAAATTACACTAACTGCAGACAGGACGTTTATACATCAATTACTAAATCAAAAGAAAAATATTTTTTTAAAATATAGCAACACTGTTGATTCGCATTAGATACGCAATTATAACAGATTCCAAAACTGCAGCATTCAAAGCTTGCCAATTAAAGCAATTTCAATTATGTTTGAAATCCGATCTCGTTAATGGATGTTCCGCGGTTTACGGCTGTTAATTGTACCTACCACTCTTAATTATGGCCGACTGATGGAGCGAGATCAGTTTTAATGCCATACACAAGGTTTGCGGTACGCACCACTTTTCACCATATCGTGTCTAGATCGTAGTACGGTACGCTTTTCACAGAATATGTGGAATACAAAACTAATGAGAATACATACATATTGTTTCTTGTTATTAGATATACTTCAATAAAATGGCAGAATACGTCTCACTGGAAGAGTTATATTTAAATTCGTAATTTTAAAGACTTGTTTTAAAAGTACCTACTTCTAATTATTATACATATTTTTTAAAGTGAATTATTATTTATTGAAGTAATAGACGAAGGTTCAAAATAATACCTAAAATTATTCGAATTTCTTGTAACATATAGTACGTTGTTCAGCATTGACTGTCGCTGTCAACTGTTATAATGTCTTATTTTATATTATAAAATGAAATAGATATATAAATATTTACTCTATTTACGTAAACAGATATACACACATACACATTTTACAAGACAATATGAATTAAAAAAAAACAGAGTGTATTAAAAAAGAAGATACAGATACAATACAATATACATACAGTTTCAATAAATAATATATATATAATTAATATGTTTTTGTTATTTTATTTAATGAAATGTGTTCATTTTATTATTATTAATTAATATTAAAGAAAATCACCTTATACTATCGTCTACCTACTAAGATAACTTGCGAATAAAAACAGAATGGAAATTAAAGTCGTCCAATTTTTCTGAATAAGTGGCTCGCGGTTTTTTATGCGGTTCAAATAGACCGGAACTCAACCTGTTGGTGCGCGGATATCCGTGGCTGTCCCGTTGGATGCGCGTGCGCTGCCGTACCGACACTAATGCACTTAACAATTAAAGAAAAAAGACATTCTTAATATTGAGACCCACATTGCTTTTAACTCCAATTGTTTCATATCAAGTAAATATATTTATAATTTAATTATGCAAACTATTTACATTGTTATTGCTATATTTTTTTATTTAATTTATAATTACTCCATTTATGTTCTTATACAATTATATAAAGATTAAGCAACAAAATATATTAAATTATTGACAGTCTATTTGTTTGCTTGAAGACCAATGTCATGTATGAGGATAGATATGTTGAGCTCACAATACTAATTCCGAGTAAAAGTTAATATATTCGGAATGAATTGTTCTGTGTATCCTAACACAATGTTTCCGGCCGCAATTCAGTTAATCACTACAACTTGACTGATCTTATTAAACATCACGCTATGTTCCGAAATGAGATTGAATTTTAAAAAGAATTTAAAATTAAAGTTATTATAGCTATGATGAGTACCTAAGATACACGAACGGGTGTCTATGGCACAATGTCAATAATAAACTTTTAGTTATATGATATTTATATGATAGTCTACCTCAATAGGTAGACCCTATTGAGGTAGACTATCATATAAATATTAGATATTTGACACGATATTGCCGTGTGAATTCGGATAAAAAATATCTTATATATTATAATTTAGAATATTACTCTCTGAATCTACTTTGGTATATAGATATCAAACATTCGAATCCGAACAGTGTTTTTTTAATTAAATAAAAAATTTTGACATCTTAATATCATTAACGTGCAAGATTAATAAGAAAATACTACGGGCCTGCACATTAAGAGGCCCAGCACACTCCCTCCTTTCTGAACACAATACAATAAAATATATTCACAAAACAGTTATTTAAATTATTTTTTTGTTCATTCAAAGTCTAAATAAAGTAAAGGATTAGTCGTTTCCAAGTGTGTTTAATTTTACTTTAAACCATAGGCTATGTAAAGACTTTGCTACAAGCTGCGCGCTGGCTATCGTCGTATATAATATTAGCTGCTCACTTTCTTAACATTTATCAATATATTTGACCCAATTTACATAAAATCTTTTTAAATTATATATAGGCTGTATGTTATTCTGATGTATAAGCTATATTACTGTAAAGTTTCATAAAATCCGTTCAGCAGTTATTGCGTGAAATAGTAACAAACACCCATCCATACTCAAAAACTTTTGCGTTTATAATATTAATAAAATTAGTAGGATTTTAAGTAATGCTTTTGTTCTCAGATTGAAGATGATGCTTATCAAGAAGACTTGGGATATACCCGCGGCACAATCGGTAAATCAAGTACAGGCCGCGTGCGCCTGCCACAAATAGACGAGAAAACGAAAGTCCGCATCAGCAAGACACTGCAAAAAAATTTGCAGAAACAGAATCAGCAGTATGGCGGCGCAACCAGCATAAGGAGACAGGTCTCTGGTACCGCGTCCTCTGTCGCGTTCACACCTTTGCAGGTTAGTCCCAATTAGTGTATATTATCGTATATTAAAATATTTATATTCGTGAGTAATTTATCACACATTTTAATATCAAAATCTAGTGCTAGTCAATGAGGCACGTAAATTAACACACGAATATAGACATATTCGTTTAGCAAACCTATATAGTATTCATATCCGTAGTGGTTTTTCGTATTCATAATTGAATTACTTTCGACCTCAACTTAAAAATTTCGCTATAAGACCAATTTACAACAGATCCATATTTCAATTTAACAAACCAAACTCCGAAGACGTTTTAAAATAGGAATTACAAGATAATTAACAATAAAATATGTCGAAATTCAGATCCTTCTCAAATAAAAAAGTACAATTTTCTATATAGTATTTAGTGTTACCTACTCACTACTAGCTATGCCACATTGTTGGGTTGACTGGTAGAGATCTCTCTTAGAGATAAGTCCACCTTTGCTCACTTTGTATATGTTTAAGTTTAGAACTGTATTTAAAAGTGCAATAAAGAATATAATATAGATACTGAATAATATTTACTCTGTATATTGTACTGTTTTAAATTGCTCTTGAACTAAGAACTAGTAGTCAATCTCAGTATTTATATTTGCATTGTTCACATGTGAATGAAATAACAGTATATAAATTTAATTGTATACTTGTGAATATGTATGATTACATAAATACTAGTTAGATATGTGTTAGAGATCAGTGTAAAAAATTGTGTCGATGTACATGTACATAGTTAACAACCTGCATTGTTGTCCCAGCGAGGTAACTGGTAATTATGCAGGCGGTCATCCCGCGTCGCTTGTATTGCCTTAAGTTACATCAGTACATACTTAATGTAATGATAATAAAGTCCAAACTTTAATATATGCAATAAATTCGCTTGTTTAATAACTATTTTAAACTGTAAAGTTTTTTACTTATTTCCTAATTATGTCATTAGATGTAGACATTGGACATTCATTATGTCGTGCATGGCAATAGTTGTTCATGCATGGGATTTTTTTTAATGTTAGACATAGACACCAATTTATACATATACATTGTAAATAAACAGGCTTTTAAAAAAATATATATTTAATTGAGTTTTTTGCCAGTTCTTCTCAATTGGATCTATATACTGAACTAGACGGTAGGGAAAAATTATAATATAAAAAATTTGACGTTCACAAGCGGCTAAAATGTCCTACATGAATAAATTATTTTAGAATATTCATTTTAATGTACTTTAAAACAATCTATGAATATGAATATGTATAGTCAGCAAATGAAAAAATTACGGCTCGAAGGATCATAGAGTTCTGACTGATAAAATATTTACAGAATTAGTCTTAAATACACCAAATCGTCTAGTTATTTATGAAATCGACTCTTTTTATGGAAGAAACAATGTGGAATATTAAAAATAATTGTTAAACTTTATAGTTATAAACTGCGGGATATCGTTATCGATTTAGTAGAAAGGGTTTAAACTTTAACATTTTCACTATACTGTTTGGAGTAGTTCGTTTAATTTTATAAAGAAAATATGTACAAGATAGCTATTATTTCTTAACAATATAATATAAACATATATTTTCTAACCCACCAATTATACTAGTATCAATAATGAAGCTAAAAATCTTTCATAGTCTTACTTTTTTTAAGAGTAAAATTTATAAGGAAAACTATAGTGATTCCAATTAATTAAAAACTGACAAAATCAACAGCTTGTTAGAGCTGGTGCACATTGTGAAAGTGGAACGAAGTATCTGAATTTCGCTATACAAGTATATCTTATAATCTTAAAACTGTATCGTTGAAATCGTAACAAAACTGATTATCTTGCCATCTTTCCTCATGTGTCTTTTTTATTTTATTAATAGTTACCAAGTTTTGGAATGGGTACAGTGAAGTGTGACAATGTACGTTGAAAATATCTATTGAAGAAGATTAAGCATACTTAATTCTCATGATTTATAAAAATAAATATAATATAATAATATAATATAGCGCCTGAACTATAGATAATTTCATAGGCGCATGAAACTCGAGTCGTCAGATAAAATTTTTGTCTACTAAACTATTATGGAATTTATATTTTTATTATTATTATAGAATTTATATTTAGCTAACCCGGCAAATGTTGTTTTGCTATATAAATTAGAAACGCTATTAAAAAATAGGGGTTGGTGATGGGAGGGTGAAAATTTAGGGTTGTTTTTATTTTTTAATGAGACATTATAAAAAAATTAAATAATATTTGTCCTTCAAATAAATAAAATATGTTACGGATGGATAACCCTTATCACCTAGGGGTAGATAGTAGTCGAGATTCTCAGACCTACTGAATATGCATATAAAATTTTATAAAAATCGGTCAAGGCGTTTCGGAGGTGTATGGTAACTAACATTGTGACACGAGAATTATAAGTATAAGAAGTATAAGATTCATTACAACACATTATTGTATAACAATTCATCCTCTGAACTCGTCACTTGTCAACAAATTTTTATGTTAAATTAAGCTGCGATGACAGAAATATAGTGATAACCAAAGTGTACAAAAATATATAGTGTTCATCACATCTTAATTCGAGAAATTGACACGTAATTATATTAGAGTCACGATTTCTATTCCTGTTTTACCGCTTAAAAATAAATTAACTCTTCTTATTTTTAGACAAAATAAAGCCAGTTCAATATTGCGATCTTTATGATATTAGTGATAAACATTATCGACCTCAAAATGTTCGTCGTTCTACGGACGAGCGGCCGAAGAGGCATCATTACCATCGTATCTCACGTAGATCTCGCCCTTGAGCTGACGTTAGAATAACATTCTAGCAATTACGTCTGAGAACGATGATGTTTTCATCGTGAACAACGGTTCTTTTATCGATAGGGAATTCTTGTTTTACTACGCCAGTGATTTATCACAGTTTTCTTTATATCTTGATGATTGTTTTAACTGAAGAATTTTTATGGACAAAGTCGGATAAAGTTTTTTGTGCCGATCTTATTTGAATTTAGGACCAATTTTACTTAGTAAAGGCAGTAACCACTAGATCAAGACCCCTCCGAATATTTCAGCTTTAATAATACAACCTGGCGAGTGTAAATTACGCTCAAAAATTACGAGTAACACAGGTGTTGTTACTTGTAATTTTTGTTTAGAACGTTTTAATGCTGTAAAACCATCTACGTATTCACTTTTAAATAAAATCGGTTTGGGGTATCGGTAAGATGGTAAGTCTATAACGGACATAGGTAAAACTCTTTTTTGTGTTCTTATATGAACTAGCGAACCCGCCCCGGCTTCGTACGAGTATTTCAACAAGTTTTCAAAAAACCCTAACGAATTCTACACTTCTTACTTCCTTAGAAATAATTCTGTTAATGGATGAAAACTTAATAAAAATTTCTTCAGTAGTATTTGAGGTTATCGCGAATAGACTTTATTTTATATATCTATTCATACAAATAAATTAAATTTAAATGTCTGATACAATCAGATTTCAAATTAACAGCTTTCACGAAATTTATATTTCATATACATTTCGTGAAAGCTGTATGTAGCTGTATATATACGGTACTGACTCAAAAATTTAATCAAAAAGTCTGTGTGTTTCTTCTTGCTTATCTCTGAAACGATTGGAACGATTATGACGTGAATTTTACTCGCGGATAGCTAATGTTATAAAAAGTAGTTTAGTCTACTTTTATTTTAGGAATTTTGTTTATTTTAATAAAAAAATGGTGATGGAGTCGCAGATAATATAATATTAGCTTAGACAAACGTATTCAGTTAGACGTGTTTAATGTGACAATTAGAATGTACACCAAGGGAATTGATGACAGTATCAGGATGAAGTATTGTAATACGACTTGTATAGCTCGTGATACTCGCATTAATGTCCTTTCTACAATTGATATTTATAGATCTATTCAGTGGTTTAATTACCTTCATATACTTATCTACTTAACTACGTATTATGTTGTAGTAAGCAAAGGAAAGTAGAATCATGTACAATTAATTTATTGTTTTCTTATTTGTATCATTTTACGCGTCTGCGCAATATTACGCGGTATGTTGGATAAAAAAATCTGAACTAATTTTGGTTATTTTTTTCCGAAAGGATTTTATATCTTAAATCTCCAAAACAAATGTAGTTGTAGTATGCATACTATTATATTTATTACGCAAGATTTAATTAATTTTAGTAGTAATGAATGTTTATTTTTGAAGAATTATTTTTTTAAAAAGGTTATTAAATATCATGACTTCTTGCTTGGGATAACTTTTATAACTAACCCTGCATAATGTCGGCGACCGTTTGCATGTAGGCAGACAACTGAGAAAATTGCCTGTTAGTATTTCAGTCCATCCACTCAGAACTTTCACCGTTTAGGTACATTTCGCTGTTGGTATTTGTGCTATGAGAATGGCGACGCCCTTTTATAGTTAAACGATGCAATGGACTGTTTAAACTAACCTTTTACTTAATTAATTATAATATATGCTGAAGTTATACGTAATCAGAAAATTGAAGGGAATTTATGTATTTCTTGGATTTTTTTTACACGAGTTCTATATAATTAGAAACATTGTTATAATCGTAAGTTATTTATTGATTCAATTATGAATTTGTTCTTGATGCCAGTCTACTTTTAATATTAAAAAGCTCATAACACGGAACATACCATACGTCGGGCAATATATAATACACGTGATACGACTCGACACCTCGACATCTTTTAATTTATATATAATATATATTAGTTACTGCCACGCTAATTTTGAGCGATAAGGGCCAACTTTGTAATAATCAATTTAAACAGGAAATACTGGCAATTATTGTTGAAAAAATTGTCTGTGTAAGTAGACCTTTATTATACTTCCGTTATCAGATTTACATCAAGGCACGAGTACAGCTAATATGAACCACCTAGATGGAAAATATGAGGCCATTACTAACGTGCCCTCCGCCCAGCGACTGGTGTTAAGCTGCCACATCTAGATAGGCACCGTTAGCTTAGATAGTTATCGGATAAATACTGCCTTAGGTACATATCGTATGTTAGGTACATGATGCGAATGGATAGGATTTTAATAGGCAGGTTTTATTACATTACATTAGTACACGGTAGGTTTATATGTTTTATATGGGCCAATGTGGATCTGATATTATTTCTTCTATTAATATTATCTATTTTATTATAAATAGCGTATTATATGTAGGTAGGCACACCATTCCATTATTTTGTTTAGTTAGTGGCCCGGGTCAGACCAACATGCTGCCTAACTGAATATTCGGCTAACACATCTATTTAATACTTATATGCCTAATCTAGTTGACCTAATTGTTTCCTGCAGAATGGCCCCTTTCGCTGATAAATGTCTTTGACATTAATGGCTATCGCTTTGAATTGCCATATTCTCATCAATGAAAATTTGAAAGTTAACTTTCATTCATATTTTATTTACTAGAAGCAGTTCCATATTCATCTAATCCGTCTTTTTATTTCATTCTCACATATCACTGTTCTAAATGTATGATCCATAATTTACAATCATTTATTGTTTTAATTCATAAACGAAATTATAAATGTATCTCTTTTTAATAAATCACATATTATAATTTGCTTCGTTCAGTGACAATTACATAGCAATTAGCAAAAACATCTCGTGATCATCGCAAATTAAATTAATGACCATTACTAGGTCTTGTCTTACTTGTCTTACTTGTGTACTGGGTATGACGATTTTAAAATACAACTTCGGTTGGCCATGTAATAGTCAAAGTATGCTAGGGCTGCCACCCCTCGACACTATTGAAGAACTCTATCAAAATATACTGTTGGAATGATTACATTATAAATTTTTATGTTAAACAGTACCTCTAACGAAATATGGTTGCTATATACACAAAATTAATCTTTGTTATTCCGAAGTGTAAACATTTCGGAATAGCATAGATTAATATGGTGTAATATTCTAGTCTGGATAAAATTAAACCACCATTGTATTATCGTGTTTACAGCTAGAAATAATCTCTTGTTAGAGTTGATTCGAGTTTACAGTATGAAAACTAAACTTTAATTTAAAGAACACAATACTTATTTAATAAATTATTTTTTCATTTTGCCACCAAATATAACATTAAATTCGTAATGCGTCTCATACATTTATATTACTCCGATTTCGGAAATAATTATTGCGACTCTACATGAGTCTCGAAAAATATTTGCATTTTACATGACAGAAGCAACCTACCACTCTTGCTTAGATTATATTAGTTGTTGATGGTGTACTGTGTCGTCGCAGAATTGTCGAAAATAATAACAATGTGTCAGTAATAATTATTAACACACGATCGCAAATCTTGTGATAGTAAAAAGAGCAAGTTGCGATGTTGCATTTTATGTGTCATTTTTAAAACTAAAGTTTGTAAAATGTTGCGTATTGGTGCTATTTTACCGCTATCTCATCCATACCATATATATGGATAATTTTTATTGCTAATGCTGTTACAAAGTTGTCTAGTTGTTTTTTGATTAATGATCGTAAACCACAGGCATAGATAAATTGACGTCTATAATCAATTATAATATTGCAGTCATAGAGAGATCATTTGTAATGACTGTGACAGTCTGCCGAAGGACTCTGCCTACTCACAAGATATAATTAAGCAATACTTATTTTGTTCTAGGGCCTGGAAATTGTCAACCCTCAAGCAGCCGAGACACGCATAAATGAAGCTAATGCAAAATATTTCTCAAACACCTCTGGGTTCCTATCAATAGGTAAGAAGACGACTTGAATAGTAAATACTATACCAACGACAAAGTTGCAAATTACGTGAATTATATTTTCAATAAAAAATGTAAATTAGTTGATTTGTTTTATTTGGATATTATAATATTTCGAAACAATATAGATGAGTCGGTTAAGAAAAACGTGAGAACTAAACGAAATTTATTACTACGTGTGATTTATATAACTAAAACTGTGCCTGATAAGCATTTAGCTGATGGATGAATATTTTCTGGTAAAAATTGTGTCATCAAAAATATTGATGGATAGCATTATTATTGTCACATTTTATTGTCACAATTGTAGCTAAATTCTAAATGATATTTAATAAATTAAACTTTATCACAAACTTTCTTATATTAATTAAACATTAGTTAAATTAGTTAATTTAAATATTTAGCTGCCAGTGCGTGCCCCTGTAACACACGCAAGGTGTTATTATTTAGATATTTATACTTTTTATTATTTGACATAATTTTAAAAAGTAGCTGCAGTATGGCTCCAGGCGTAAATTTCTGCAGGCGCATCTCGCATTTCGAACATTCTCGTATAAGTATGATGTACATAATTCTCACTGAATTACTTGCTCTCAAACCGGAACAAAAAAAGTTGCTATTTATAACACTTACTAACTTACTAGATAGACGTAGTATTTCCACTTAGTAACTAATACTGACGACTGTACGACAACTGAGTATTAATTTTTATTATCAAAATGGGTGATAATGGAATAGTGCATCCGCCTTCGCTAACGGCGCCTGTACGTAAGCCAGGAACCAGTGGAGAATAAGAAATTATGTTAGTTAGATCCTGACAAATTCATCAGGAATTAACGATGATGGTGTATAGCAATAAGGCCATTTGGCATTACTTAAAATCTCACCCCCCTTTTAACGCTGCATCTATAATGAAGCGTTTTTAATTAAGATATTAAGTGTAACTGGAGTGAGATGCCAACACAATTATTAAAGGAAAACCAGGAAAAATATATACATATGTTATAGAGAGCTCAAAAATATCATATAAAAAAGGGGTATGAAAATTATATAAGAATTTAATAAAAAGAATGATAGACAAGCAGCCAGCAACAAAATGTGTAAAAAATATATTTTGACCTATTAAACCGGTTTATATATACCCAAATCTAAGGCTAAGTGAAATATAAGATGTTATTGCAAACGTAATATTTATATGTATAGATAATGTATGATATATACCATGATAAGTTTTTGATATTTAAATTCAGATTTCGTAAATTGCATTTTCGATTAAACTTATTTTAGCCTGTAGTTGTTTACTGTTCCACTTATTGCGGCACTTCCTTGTATTTCAATACAAACTGTGCAAAAAGCCGCATTGGCCGTCTGCGATCCTAATATTAAAACATGTTCGGTCGCAAAATAATGTGTTCGTATTTAAAATTAGATTTATTTGACTACGGTTCATAAATTTCATAATATAGAATATTAATATATAAATTTTATATAGAATGTTTTTTTATTACATTTTACCATAATATATTTATATATAGGTATTACGAAGTAAGTCTGTCCTGATCTGCAAGCACTACTTACTTAAAACAAAATACTTTTTATGTAAGTATTTGATCTGTTTTTAGTACCAAAGATATTTGATATTTATGACAATGTAATAAATACCAAGGTTATTTATTACATAGATGGAATTTTGTTTCAATTCTCAAAGGGCATTGCCACTTCTAATAAAACATTGTATTGAACATCTGTAGGTGCTATTGGGAGAAACGATAACATTCAAACACATTAGACCTTAGCTTTTTCATTTTTGTCACAATTTACTAAGCTACTTTTGGGCAAATGTTATTTATTTACAATCAGTTAAATAAGAACAAAAAATTATTCAGTTCTTGATTTTCATTTGATGAGTTTTCACATTTACATATTTATCTAGAACGCATATTTAGTTATGGAATAATTATCTTAATACGTACTTGTTAACTACCTATAAATCATGTGACAGAACATTACAATATTCTACTGATAATAATATATATAAATTCTAAATCTAAAGAATTTATAAAATATTTATAAAATTATACAAAATTTATAACAATATTAAATTCAAATTCAATTACAAGTGACATAGATTCAATTATTGATTAAATAGAAACTATACAAATCCATAATCACTTAAGTAGAGCGTAAACTAAGCTGAACTAAGTCAAATAATTACTTATTAGTAACTTATAGTTAAGTATCCTACGACTATGATAACATTCTTATCTATAATCTCTATCAAATTATAAATTCGCAATAATCATAATCATGTTTACATTCAACTAGTATTGATGTCGTAGTAAATGTTGAACATACCTACATTGGTAAGTGTTGCCTTAATAGTTATTGCAGGCCTTCTAATTTAGCTGTTGCAAGTTTTAGTAACAGTACACACGCCTTTCATGCCTTATCTTGTAAGTAATAGAAATACCGAAGTATGCAATTTAAATAAAAATACGAGTATAAAGTTATATAATATAACAGAAGACTGAACTGTAGGGACATCATATATTTTTGTTTTTCGATTGCTGAAAAAGAATAATTGGTAATAACAAATGAGTATTTTTTTATATAATTGGATTGTCAAATATGCTAATTGCCCACTTGATGGTAAGTAATAAACGTATACCTGCGCCGATATACATGAACCACGGACCTAACATGATCATGTTATACCAGTAGTACCATACATATATTGTCATTCCATAGGATTAAGATGTCATAGCTCGTATCGTGTGATTTCACTCACACACATTACTTTTCGGAAAGTCTAAATCGATAATAATTAAGAACAATAATTGAATAAGACAACAATAATACCTTCACGACTATAAATACAAACAAGGCAGTCAAAGGCATGATCTGTTGTTGTGTCATGTCGATATGGTGAGCTCAACTTACATTTCTTACCACTTCTTTCAAACCTCATAACTTTGTACGGTCTATCACAGATCTATCACAGACTATTTTAAATAGGCCATTAATCACATGTATGTATTATCAAAACATTGCACAATTCCAATTTTATTAAACTATGTCCATAGCAATATATAGTTACTTCATTGAATTTTAAAACCAGTTTCTGGTTCGTTTTGTTTATACTGCTTTGTAGTTGGTTACATTTATTATGACCCATGCACGTTGCTGGTTACTTCAGTTCAAGGACGCCATGTTACGTTGAATTTTTCAACTGGCTACATAATGAGTTATGGGTACTTGCATATTAAAGTTGTGTAGGCGTCATGCCAACGCAGTTATGTTACCATTACACCATATGTAAATTGTGGAGTAACACCAACTACTCTTTGATGTTTACTGACATGATGTTGCACATGTCCCTTTACATAGAGGTACCTATTTTATAGTAATAAGTTAATCTTAACTTTAATAAGTCATCTTTACTTCTATTTTGACCCCGAAACTCAAACATTCCACACGAGCAACAATATCTAGGTGCGCTCATGCAACTGTAAGTGCAAAATACAGATAAATGTCTCATTCCCACCAGAAGATACGAATAGAATAAAATATACGTACGCATTTTTACCTAGGCTAAAAACATGAAAATATGTTGTTTTTTGTATTGTTTATATAATAAATATTATTTAAATACTATAATTTTAACTTAAAGTTATACTTATCATACAGATACATTAGGTATACATATTACATATTGTTTACATAGATTTAACACTTTCTGGTAAACATTAAAAATTATTCACTATAAATAGTGGAGGCCGCTTCGCAATTAATGCCATTTTTATGCGAAACATCAGAATTAAGTAAGCATTAAGTTAAAAGAAGCATTCTAATTTAATTATGAATTAAGTTTCTATTTATTTAATTTTTTTGTAAATGCTAAGGAGATGGCACACTTATTATACTTTTTGTATAGTGTGCAAAGTGTTTTCAGGTGTTGAAAATGAGAGTAAGTTAAATACATTCATCAATCAATGTAGTGTACTCTACGCCCTCACCTGTTACAACATTATTTGATGAACATTAGACTAGTCTGACATACTAAGATAATGTATACTCACTGTATATATACATATAGAATTACCTAATGCACTGTTGAATCCTCTCATTGAAACTTAAGAAAATTATAGGCATCACTTTCCATAATTTCAAGGCTTTCTTCCAATATAACCTTGAGGAGACCAATGTTTTTATGTATATTTGTAACAAAGAAATATCGTTAATGAAGTTCAGTACACCAGTATAATCAGGCTCGCGGTCCATTGAGTAGGTGAATATTATGTACATAACTTAGACATGAAAAACGCGTGGGCATGCATAAGGACGGCCGGTTTTAACGGACACTACGGACGTGCTTCGAATCTGTTTACCACGCAAATGTTCAAACGTAGGTATACAAATAACTTTGTCACCAAAGTAGGTACCACCTACCTACTATATACTTTAGGAATAGAATACCCGGTGCATCGAAATAACATTAGTACTAGGTAACAGTGACAGAAGTTTGATTGTAAAGTAACGGGTGTTCTATTGTGGCAGGTATCTATTATATAGTTCATTACGTGATGTCGTGTGATAAGACACGCCCAACAAGAAAAGAACGTTAACGGTTCATTGAAATCGAAAGAAGCAAGGAACAAACGCGTGTGCCGCGGCGAGGAACAGGTTAGTGTCGGCGACACATCCCAAGACGGGCGCGAGGCTGTTGCAAACCCGCGCAGTGTTCCGACGGCCGTACGTGCGCGCGCACATTCGAAAACTATAACGACCGAACGCGGTATACCGCGAACCACGGATGGTGATCAAACAGTACATGAGACAATAACACATGATTTAGTTCACAAATCATCTAGTAGTTATAATTTAGCCTTGGATGTAATAATCTATATATATGAATACCTGTTAAATGATGAGAATCTTTGTATGGTGTTGAAGTGTCAGTGCAACCGGTGACTAGAATGAACATTTGATAGCATGTTACGGAGTGAACTGGTATTTTAAGTGATAGCTATGGCGAGCTTCGAGGACCTTGCCTTCGACTGGGCGTCACTGTGCCAGGAGTGCCCTGAATGCTGGACCGCGTCAGGTGAGTGACCTAACCGGTGTCGTCTCTTCTACATTGTTTTTCTATTTTTAAAATTGTCTAGGAATCTATATTAGATTTACCTACTTCAGTTTCATAGATTTCATCAATCATTAGCCAGTATGAAGCTTTATTGCAACCAGTATTTTCAATCTACCCACATTATAATATAAGGTTGATAACTTTAAAGGAATTTCAAAATCACTGGTTGAACTAATAAAATTGAGTGTCTGTGTTTAAATATTTGTTATTACAACAAACAGCAACAGGTCAGTCATATTTGGTTAGGTCAACTTTTTATCCTAAAGCTGTGTGGCTTAATGTAACCTTGAAGCTATTACCTACTAATGACCAGCATTCCTTGACCGCCCAACTGAATCGTGTGTAGTATTTTCGGTACTTGCTATTTTAAGGCCCACACAATCATGGATACAACTTTACTATATACCTAAGTATAAAATTATAAGCACACCTGTAGTAAGTAAGATTTTTATTCATTAATGCGACAATGAATTCAATTGACTTACTTAAATCAAAATAATAAGTGCCTAAAAAGCTGATATATGAGAGATTTTTGCAAATAGACCAACTTTGATAAAGATATACAAAATAAAACAATAAATACACACATACTGTCACATGTCATAACATTATTTTGTAATGACATGATGATAGATTTACAATATAAACGAAACACGCTGTATATGCACAATAACAAGATATCTGTGGTTGGTATTTCAATTAGTAGGAACTTGTAATTTCCTCAAGAAAGTCATAGAATAGTGATGAAATCAATGTACGGTATAGTATGCAGAAAATGTTTACTGAAGAATATTGAAAGAGAATTAAAAACTACTACACGTTAATTTTAACGTGTAGTAGTAATTTTTAATTCTCTTTTACATCTTATAAATATTATATTAATTGATATGTACATAGAAATTAAATACGAGATATTATGTCATTAATTTAATTTATATGGATTCTCACGTTGATAGGCAACTGCGATGTTACTTCAAATACTAATAGAAAGTAAAAGCTTATCTTAAAATATAATAATATTACGCTATATAGTGAATTTACAACCATTGGGTCTTTCACACATTAAACTTTCGTGGAAAAGAAATTGTAAATAACGTCTACCTATGTGATAACACAATTATAACCTTGGTTTCGCAGTGGTTCGCCTTGCGTCACTACTTTTGATTAATGTTTGCACTACTGGTCAGTATTTATAATAGTAATTCTAATTATTCATTCAATTGCCCTATTGTCTTTTTGAAACTCGATGAAATAATCTTGTATCTTATTGACATCCATACCCGCTTTCATAATATTATATCATAATTATATTAAATTTCTCCGTGTTATTTAAAACTGATGTGTTATGTAAACTTATTCAATATTAGTTTTGCATTAATTTAATTTACATTAATCCTTGCACATTTGTAGTGTTGTAACCAAATATGTATATCATAGTAACACTTTTACAATTCTATTTATATTCTATGTTAACATTGAACTTAGAAAATACTAACCGTATTTTTATTGGTATTTTATTGCATATAATGATAAAACAATTCTATGCTGCTAAATATCTTTTATGAACCTATGTTGTCCTATTACTGAGCACGTGCTCCATCTTACATTTCTTTCCAGTATTCATCTTCGTTAAGAAAAGCAAAAGAAAGAATAAATAAATAAATAAACCTTAGAAATAAAATAAAATAGGTACAAGTAAAATATTATTAAATGATTTTATTGTAATACACGTGATATTTTCTATTGATAAGAATTGGGATGGACAGAGATTAATTATTGTTTTCTCGTCTCGCCAAGAGAAAAATGTTTACTCATATAGTTATCTACCCTAAGATCTAAAAAATAATGTATAATAAAATATGATTGGTTTAGCTTTTCTTAACAAAATTAATATTATATATAGGTACAATCTGTGTAAGAGAAGCAATATACATATTTATTCTCTATCTGGTTTATTACCATTACTAGGTGTTACCTACACCGTTACCTACACAGTTTGCAGGTATGAAGAAAACAATACTATTAGATTCATAGTACGGTAAGCAAAAATAAATCTGTTGCCAAGGATATCTATTCTTGTACTTTATCCCTCGTACATTACAATTCCAGAAATAGGTTGAATTTAACAACTAAAAATAGAAACAACAGTAGGTATAACCTACATATCTGATTCCATTCCACGGGAAAAAACATAAGTCATCTTTTACCTCAAAATGCAGGCAAACAATGTAACAGGTTTTTCTAAATGAATTCGTTAAACTCATAAACACATACTGCTAGGTCTGCTCTGATAACAATGACTGATATATTTTGTGAATGATGTAGATTTAATATTTACTCCATATTTTGTCAATCTTGCTATTTGGCAAAGTGTATTCCCACAAAATTCTAAATATATAATGCTGAACAACATTCTGTTTAATTTCTTGCTCGTTTATCATATGAAGTGTGCGTTTTCTGAATGAGCGATAGAATAAAAAAATATGCAGGCTCTTTAAAAGGGTTTATATTAAGTTTATTTCAATAAAGATTACTGCTCTTCTATTCCAAATCACAAGTCTCCGTAGTGCAAAACTCGTAACCTATAATATTGCGATTGTACTTAATACCTAAGTGGGCCTAACAAAATAATAAACTGAAGTCTTAAATTTCGCCTAATTTGACAGTATATATGTAGAACATAAATAGCTAAAAGGAAAAAAAAAGAAACATGGTGTATGTATATACTTATTTCATATTAATATATCCCAAATTTAGTTAGACTGAAGAAAAACTCATTCATTGAAATAGATATGTACTTACTACTCATACTAAATACTACTTATTACATAAAATTTTTAAGTTCCAAATACACAAATATTAATTCAAATGTACCTACTAGGTATAACCGAAACGTATTGAATAACATCTATAATATTTGAACAGTCGAGTAAAATATTAGGGCTTCTCTGATAAGATGTGTCCGAAGCATATGCAGAAATACTATTTATTTATACATCTTGTCTATAGGTACATAGATTTAATTTGATATAATTCCGAAAGGTTCCGTGCATTTGCATTTATCTCTGAAGCAATCCTGCGATGTTGGATTCAATTTTTGTTTAATATCATTTTATAATTTACTAGCTGTCCCGGCAAACGTTGTTTTGCCATATAATTTAATAACGCTATAAAAAAATAGGGATTGATGATAGAAGGGCGAAAATTTAGGATTGTATGTATTTTTGTATGTTGTATCATAAAAAAATAGAAGCTAAAGATTTTGTCTAAAAAATAAAAAATAAATTTAGGGGTGGAGACTACCTCTAACATTTAGGGAGATGAAAAATAGATGTTGGCCGATTCTCAGACCTACTCAATACGCTCACAAAAGTTCATGAGAATCGGTCAAGCCGTTTCGGAGGAGTATGGGAACGAAAACTGTGACACGAGAATTTTATATATAGGATAAAGAAAATGTAACTTAATTTTATTTAATAAGTGGAATTTAATTTATTTACATAACTTAATTGTACTACTTGTACTATTGTACTACTAAGAACCTAAAAGTAAAAAGCTTAAAAAATACAATAAAGAAAATATATATGATTTGCCAATAAAGCTGTCAAATAGAACTATATGCTTACATAATCGAAAAACTGTCAGTTTCAATAAAGGACGACAATAGTTTACTATATTATAATATTTTTTAATATACGGTTTACGGTTTTGTATACAGTTACGGTGTTAAAAAAAATAAGCAAACATAGTGCTTCCTTGATATATACTTTTCTTCTAATGTTTTCTAGATTATTGACATACATTGAAAATTATAATTTAAATATATTAATTGCTTTCGCAGTGTATAAGTATAAAAATATAGTCATATTAAATATTGATAATTAGTAAGATTGGAATTGGTTTATATAATAAACCAAATTAAAAATATTTGCAGACACTCAATATACCTACATCCACATACACACAGCAGCATTAAATGTTTCAAAAAGAAATAAATACAGTCTGTGCAGTTTTATTTGTATTTTAGTTTAATGGCATGGTGCATTTACCTGTGATGATGGTATTAGCTTATCAGGCACCAGAGGAGGATGATGATGAAGGCAGATCAGTTAGCCCATCGTGGCGATCACATTTATCACGATGATATCCAATACGAACCGCGTGGTGGTTGAGCTGATACCGTATCCTACATTGCTATAGAGTCCCTATTATTAACGATGCTTTCCTTTGAATTTGATTAGATAGCTGCACACACAGACTCTGGTATGTCATTATAATGTAAACAATAAAACAAGCTTTATCTCGTGTACCTTGATGGGATGACTGACGGCGCCATACACTCATTACTTTTTTAACCACTAAAAAAGGAGAAAGGTTGTAGTGATTTATTTTTATGTATAATTTGTAAAACCTGACATTGACGATGAATTTAAATGGACGTTCAAATAGTGGACAAGGCATATATTTTTTAGTATGATTTTGATGACTTCAAATTATATATGGTATAATTATAAACAGACGGCTGTTTTTATATGTTGTCAATGCCGGGCCGTATCTTCGTTAATTCGGAAGTTATTTTAATGATTCGTCTCTTTAATACGAAGACATGTTCTCCCGCGTAACTTCTAACATTTATGTAAGTACTGTATGTATGACAAATTTGTTTTTCGAACAAAATCTTCAATTATGCGTGCGTACATGAGTTTGTTTAAGTTAAAATTATCACGAGTCGTCGACTCTCCAAACATAATTATTTTTATTTACTCTCTTGTCTCTAATACAAATTTTTAGGCCAACATCAAATTTTATCAATATTGATCCAATTGCTCAACATATTTCCAAAATGAATTCTACAGTATGCTGATATACATCTGGGACTATGTTAAACAAACAGACGTTCTTTCTCTGTAATATTTATTTTTATGTTGATTAATACATATGTGTGCACAGGTGTGGTGAAC